AATCAAAATGAGTTTTCTTTGAGTGAATTGTTTGGCAAGGTATTATGATATTTGGACGCTGATGGGTTAAATCTTTCTTGTTTATTTTCCTAAGAGTAATTGACTGAATAAATCTTTCAATAAATGAGGATGTGATGCTTTATTGTTGTTTATAAAAAACATGAAGTCCTGGTCCTCACATGTGTGCAAACAGTGATCACTCTCCCCTGGCTTCCCTTCTTTGCTTCTGCAGTCTCTGGCTCACTCATGTTGCCTGGAATCTTGAGGATACCATTGTATTATATAGCGTGTAATAATATGCTGTAACGTTATTAACGAAACCATACTCTCCAATCAGATTTCACTAATTTTCTCACTAATGTCCTTTTTCTGTTCCAGGGTCATAGTCCAGGATCATACTCAGGGTTGCATGTAGTGAATATCAGGTTATCTACACGATACAGAGGTGGTAAATGGTGCAAAACAAGAAAAAGAAGCATCATTTCTCAATGCATCTTAGTCAAAACCAGATAATCTATTCTGTACTTTTCAATGGGGAGAAGTTATGTAGGCAAATCCTACAGGCCGGGATTGATAGAGCAGGGTGATGTAAGAGACTGGGGTGCAGGGCAGTCCTCTCTGAGGAGGGAAGTGTTGAGCTCAGATCCGATTGTAGGAGCCAAGTTTGAAACAATCTAGGGGCAGAGCATTCCAGGTGGACAGAACTGTAAGGTGGTATAGTAGGTCCTGCCAAATGAGCTATTCAAGATGTGAATATTGACTTATTGGAATAAATTCCTTCACCAAATATTTAAAGAGCACCCACTAGTGCCAGGAACTGTTGAAGGTGCTTGGATGACATTAGGTTAGAATGTTTCTTGTAGGGGAAGCCAGGCCAGGGAAGTGTGGGAGGAGGGGCAGGCTGATGTTGAGCTAGGATATGGAGCTGGGAGGGATGCTTAGTGAGACTTTTGAGTTTGACCAAAATTAGGAGGGCCTGCAGTGCCATCTGAGTTCCACTGGGGATGGGCAGGAGTCAGGGGTGGATCCCTGAGTTTTGATTCTCAGATGAACGGAGAAACCTAGCTTGAGGAGATTGAGCTGGAACCTGGAGGTAGGAGGTGCCTAGTTTTAGGCTGAGATAGGTGCAGGAGGCTCAGGCCCTACCCCTTAACAGCTAGACTTGGAAAGATTTGGGGCAGAACATTTCCGGTGCATTCCAGGTGGAGGGAACTGTAAGTGCCAAGGCCAGGAGGTGAGATCAAATTTGATATGTTGGGATGATTTGCAGACACCAGAGTTCTATAGGCTAGGTTAGGAGTTCAGATTTATTCCATGTGTAAGGGAAGCCACTGGAGAACTTTATATATGGGACTGGCATGATCTTATTTTTTAAAATTAACTTATTTTCTCGAGACAGTCTCACTCTGTTGCCCAGGCTGGAGTGCAGTGACGTGATTATGGCTTACTGCAGCCTTAACCTCCTGGGCACAAGCCATCCTCCCACCTCAGTCTCCCAAGTAGCTGGGACTACAGGTGAGCACCACCACACCCAGCTAATTATTTTGTATGTTTTGTAGAGATAGGGTTTAACCATGTTTTCCAGACTGGTCTCGAACTCCTGGGCACAAGCAATTCACCCACGTTGGCCTCTTAAAGTGCTGGGATTACAGGTGTAAGTCATAGCACTTGGCCATTTTTTTTATTAAAACATAGTTTAAATCACTTTTCTTAAGGCATAATTTACAAATAACAAAGCACACTTACTTTAAATGTACAGTTTGGCGAGTTTTGACAAATATATGAAGCTATGTAACCACCACCACAATCAAAATACAGATAGAGCATTCTTATCACCCTAAAAAGTTCTTTACTACTGACTCTTCTGTTACCACCCCAATCTCCAGCCTCAGGCAAGGGATCTGCAGACCCTTCACCCAACTTCCTGGAGTTACCATCTTGCGTAACCATTGTCCATTTAACAAAACCAAGAAATTAACATTGCTACAGTATTACGAACCAAACTACCACCTCTAATCAGATTTCACTAATGTTCTCACTAATGTCCTTTTTCAGTTTCAGGATCCATTCCAGGATTGCACCCAGGATTGTAATTAATAATTATGTCTCCTTAATCTCTTACAATCAGTGACAGTTTCTCAGACTTCCCTTATTTTTCACAAACGTGGCAGTTTTGAGGCACACTGGTCAGGTGTTTTATAGAATGTCCCTCGATTTGGGTTTATCTGATGATTTCTTATGATTAGACAGAGTTTATAGACTTGGAGAAGAAACCACAGAGATGATGTGCCCTTCCCATCTCATTATATCAGGGAGTATTTGATACCAAATTCTATTGCTGCTGATGTTAACCTTGGTCACTTGGTTAAAATGGTGTCTGCCAGGCTCTCTCCTATGAAGTCACTATTTTTCCCTTTCCATATTCTACTTTTTGAACTTTTTTCAAGTAGTGAAGTTCAGCCCACCTAAAAATGGGAGGAGAGTTAAGTTCTACTTCTGGAGTGGGTGGAAGTATGCATACACTATTTGGACTATTTATTCATAGAGGAAGCTTTTTTTTTTTTTTTTTTTGAGAAACGGTCTCACTCTGTCACCCAGGTTGGAGTGCAGTGGTGTAATCTCAGCTTACTGTAACCTATGCCTGCCAGGCTTGAGCAATCCTCCTGCCTCAGCCACCTATGTAGCTGAGACCACAGGCATGTGCCACCACACTCAGCTAATTTTTGTATTTTTTTGTAGAGACAGAATCTTGCCATGTTACTCAGGCTGGTCTTGAACTCCTGAGCTTAAGCAATCTGTTCAACTCAGCCTCCCAAAGTGCTGGGATTACGGGCATGGGCCACTGCACCTGGCTGAGAAAGCTTTTTTTTCTCCATAGAGGAAATAACAGCAAATTTGTATTTTGCTGGAAGTGATCAAAAAGGGAACAAAATACTTCTGAGGGCTTCTTTGCTTTCTTCTGTAAGTGTCGAAAAATGTTTTCACATCAGGACTTTTCTCATTACAAAAACTCTTAATAATATATTTTATTTAGCTCAATATATGTAAAATATTATGATTTCAAAATATGATCAATATAAAAATATCAGATATTTGCAATTCTTATTTTATATGCATTCTTGCAGATCCATCTTGTATTTTACACTTACAGCTTCTTATTATTATTTTTGCAAGGAACACGGGTACTTTATTGAATGCCATTGCAGAAAAGTGTGTGAAGATAAATGGTTGATACAGGACTTGGCTCCGGGGACAGTGCGAGAAATGGATGGTGGAGTATGTGGGAAACAGGTCACGGGCAGAGCTCCTGGCCTGGATGATTTCTCTTGATCTATCGATAGGCTTGCAAGATGAGTTCTGAGATGATGATAAGCAGAATGGTCGTGATGATGCCTAAAATCAGGGTCCAGATGTTCAGGCATTTAGCGGTGGAGGCATAGGCCTGGGCCCCGGTCAGGTCACCAAGCATCTTCGTGTCCCTAGACTTCACAGAGTAGGCTATGAATGCTATGAAGCTCAGGCAGGAGGAGTTCATGAAGACGGTGTTGCACAGGGGCCAGAAGACATACATGGTCAGGCATGGAGGTCTCACTGTGGATGCAGATCACGTGGCTGTCAGGGGATCAGGGTTGTGGGGCGCCCCCAGCACAGCCACCTCATGCTCCTCCTTCAGCATCTCATAGTTTGGGGGGACAGCCACTGTTGGCAGGAGTGGAGAAGGTTTGGACAATGTGGTTCATGGAGTTCAGGGAAGACCAGCTGTGGTCAGCTTGCTGGGATGGTTCTCCCACTTAGAGCTTATTGCGGTGAATTAGCCGTATTTCAAGTTCTCAATGGCCACAGGACTCAGGCTACCATATTGGAGAGCACAGCTCCAGACCTTTTTGAAGCCAATGCAGGGAAGGCTGGGGTCTTGGCAATGGTGCACTTCATTCTCCAGTCTCCAGACTCTCATCTCTACCATCTTTGCTGTGTTTCTGTGACTGTGATTCCTGAAAGTTCATGTTGAGGAAGCATCTTGTAACAACATTTTGGTTTTTTTTGTAGTTAAAATGATTTTTTTTACTTTATTCTTTATTTTATTTATTTTATAATTTAAAAATTTTTTGTGAATTCCTAGTAGATATATATATTTATGGGGTACATGAGATGTTGAGGTCGTGGCATGCAATGTGAAACAATCACATCCTAGAGAATGGGGTATCCATCCCCTCCAGCATTTCTCCTTTGTATTACAAACCATCTAGTTACATGCTATCTCAAAATGTGCAATTAAGTTATTATTGACTATAGTCACCCTGTCGTGCTATCAAATAGTAGGTCATATTCATTCTTTCTATTTTTTTGGTACCCATTCACCATCCCCCACTTCCCCCCGATATCTAAATTCCAAAGTGCCAGTTTTGGATACTGATAGGACTGAGTGCTAGCCACCTAAGCACCTGGAAGTGTGACAATAATTATTCTCCCTTTCCCAGCACAGTGATTTCACAGTCATGTTTTCTTTCTGTGTTTTCTTCGTAGTGCCTTTCATGCTACTCCCTGACCTTCCTCCATGCTTACCTTTAAACTTTTAAAAGTTAAACTTCTCATTTTGAGATAATTGTAAATTCACATGCAGTTGTAAGAAATAATATAGAGAGACCTCATGTGTCTTTACCCATTTTCCTCTAATGGTAACATCTTGTGAAATAAGTTATTCTCTTTTAAAAATAAAGATATTTGGCTGCTCTGTGAAGGCAAAGTGGGAGCAGAGAGACTGCTGGGAGGTAACTGTGATTGGGCAGAGATTTGGACCAGGAGAGAGCAGGAGAAGATGCTGAACCATGCTGCCATTCTGGGGCAGGTGGAGGTGAGCTGTATCCACACGAACCTCACAGGATACACTGATGTTCAACTCCAACAAGAACCTCCTTCACCAAGGTCAAGTCAAAAGCACAGTCTGTGTATCAGTTTCCAGCAGGAAAGAGAGGGTGCTAACATTTGCAACAAAAGACAGATTAACAAGAGAAAAACAAGATTGTATTGACATGAATATATCATATATGCATGGGAGATAACCAGGGAATGAGTAATTCTCAAAGAGCTGATTTAGAATTTCAGCTTATATAGTATCTTTGACAAAACACATTAAATTTTTAGAGCAGTGACAAGACAAAAAGGACCTTGAGCCTCTAAGGAACCTCAAAATGTAGGAAGGCAAATATACAAGAAACTAATGGTAGATAAAGTCTGGTTAGTAAAATTCGTTAGGTAGATTCCTCTGGTCTAATAAGGCCCTGAAGACATCTTCATTGATTGACCTTTGTCCTTTCCAGAAGGGAGGGGAGGAGGGACACCTACATCCTGCTTTAGGCAAATGGAGGCAAACAGAAAGGTTTTCTTCTATCTGCTTTTTCTCAACTGCTTTCAGCTCAAAATAATCCTTGTGCCAAAATGGTATATTTGGTGTGGAAGAGCCTGCTACCTTTCAACAGAACCAGAGTTTAATGAGGGGACAATTTACAGAGGTGTGTGCAGGATTAGGCACACCCAGGAGAGACGATGAGGCGTCCAGACTAGCACAGTGGGAACCGTCGCCATCCCTGGGCCTGGAGGAAGGAGACAGAGAGAGGTGCCATTACAGGGCCCAGGGAAAGTTGGAGTTAAGATTGAGGAAATGCCCAATAAGAGCAGTGGTGGTGGGTAGAGGAGTATAACCAGTCCCAAAATTATACCCAGCAGCAGGAAAGGAATCTGTTTTCTGACCTTTCTCCCCTCCCATCATCTGATCACCTTGCAGTGCAAGGGAATGGAGCCATAAAGTCTGTCAAGGTTGGCCTTCTCAGCATAGACCGGGACAGGGGAGAGACAGGATGGTAAAAGGAGAATAACAGAATACAATTTCAAAAACTCTACAGTGGGGGAGCTTTAGAAACAGTAAGGAACTGTTTATTCTTTATCTATACAGAACACCTTTTTTTTTTGGAGATGGAGTTTCACTCTGTCTCCCAGGCTGGAGTGCAGTGGCATGATCTTGGCTCACTGCAACATCCACTTCCCAGGTTCAAGCGATTCTCCTACCTCAACCTCCTGAGTAGCTGCTGTTACAGGCATGTGCCACCACACCCAGATAATTTTTGCATTTTTAGTAGGGACCGGGTTTCATCATGTTGGCCAGCCTGGTCTCGAACTCCTGACCTCACGATCCACCTGCCTCAGCCTCTCAAAGTGCTGGGATTACAGGCATGAGTCACTGTGCCTGGCCAGTACAGGGCATATTCTAGATGTGCAGTGATTCCATTTTAATGTAAGTGTTTCTCACCTAGTCTAACTTTCAGCAACTCTTTCCGAGATTATTTACAGGCTTGATCTGCAAGCATCTATGAAACACTGTGGACCCTGGCCTCTCCTGGGGGTACAGCAAGAGCCTGAGAGGAGACCTGCACGAAGTTTTGAGGGATAGGGTATCCTAGAAACTAGGATGTGTGGCCTCCCAGGGAGTTTTGCGCCCATGAAAGTGTCAGAGAATCTCCCATAACGAGACCACTGAGAGTTTGGCCAAGGATGTCATGTGGTTGGATATCTCAAGATTGCTTGCAGCAAACACAAGACTGGAGGTCTGAGATCTCTGCCCCTTTTCTGGCACCACTAGGTATCCAAGGTTCTGCTGGGTCTCTGAGGGTGGGCGTGGGAGGTAACTAACACTGATGCTTTTCCTATCACCTCCATGGGATATGTGGGGCTAGGGAAAATTTGGACTTGAATTCATTTCTGCATCTGTAAATAGGGGATAATGATATTACCTCCTTCATAGGATTATTGGGAAGATTGAGATGATCATATAAGTAAAGAATTTAGCATTCTGGCTCCTAGGAAGTGCTCAACATATGTTAGCTATTAGTAGTAGTTGTAACTTTTCCCCCCCGTCTACTGACCGGAAGATGCTGTTTCTGTTTTTCATACGACACACTGCAAAATGACTTTGAACATATGAGTCTTAATTTCATTTATTGCAAGTGTGAAATGAGCTGACAGAAGAGACAAACATGGACAGCCTCACCCCCACGATCCACAGCAGTTACATCACAGAGTTACCAAGAATTCCAGAAAAGAAGTCAAGTGATGAAAGACTGAAGGACAGGAAGCCTGGGAGGACTGCTGCCTAAGAGAAGCTGGGTGGAAAGTTCTCAGGGAGTCCAGCCCCGTTCGTCCTGCTCTGCCCTGGCGGTCTCCTGGCCCCGTCCCTCTGTGACTTGAGGAGTGGTCCTGATTGCCAGTTGCCTTAAAGAGTTTGGGGAAACTGAAGACTGGGGTCCTTTATAGGCCTGTTCTGGACCAAGAGGGGTTGGGAGAGGACCTGGATTTGGATCCTGAAATCCACAGACAACCCCTGCCCTTACACTACTTTATTTTAAAGGTTTTGTTTTAAATTGCAAAAGTAAAACAAGAGTGCTGTAAAAATAGCATAAACATATACAGTGCATAAAGAAAAAGACAGAAAATCTGTCTCCACATGGCCTCCCTGCCCAAGTCTGCTCCTCAGGGTGGGCCCTGAGGCTGCTGGAGTCTCCTGTGCTGGGGAGCCCTCTATGTTGCCTCCCTCCAGGCCTTTAATCCAGTATTAAGGAGCCCAAATCTCTGTTTTCTACACCTGCACACCCTCTAGTGGGGGTGCTTTGCAAACTCAATGTGAGGACAAGAAAAGGACATGGCAGGTATCAGGCTGCCTAAGGGTGGCCTAAGGCACCCTCCTGACGGGCTCCCCAACCCTTGGAAATCAGGATCTTCAATTTTGGTCCTGACCAAGTCCCACTAAAACTTGGCTACTAGGTTGGTTTTCCAATCCCAAGGAAACTGGGAACAATGATACCTACCAGCAAAAGAAAAAAGACGAAATTTGTTAGAACGGTGACCCTAACCAGTCAAAGGCAGCACTTCACCTAGAGGTTATAATAATAACCACTTCTGGGAGCCCTAATTGAAGGACTGGCTTTGCTTTACGGGTGAGGACTGCTAATATTTCTTTTCTAGTTGAGGCCGCTGGTGCTCTGGGAGGTTCACTGCAGGAGGCAGGAGAGTGCAGGGGTGAGGAGCTCAGGCTCTGTGGCCCGAACACCTGGGTCAGCCATCCTGGTTCGGCCGCATATCAGCTGTGTGACCTCAGGCTTATATTAGGGAGTCTACCACGACTCTGTTTCCTCTCTAGTAAAATGGGGATGATGACAGAGTCTCCCTCCGAGGGTGGTGGTGATTAAATAAGTTATTATGTGGCTGGGCATGGTGGTTCATGTCTGTAATCATAGCATTTTGGGAGGCCGTGGCAGGAGGATCATGTGAGCCAGGAGTTCGAGTGTTACAGTCAGCTATGTTCACACCACTGTGCTCCAGCCTGGGTGACAGAGTGAGACCTTGTCTCAAAAAAAAAAAAAAAGTGAGTATGAGTCAAGTGTCTAGCACAGAGAAGATAATCAATAAATATGAGAACTGGGATTAAATAATGGGCTAAGTCTCAGCTAGTGGCTGATGGAGGAGGCATCTGAACCCGGGTCTGATGTGATCGAGGCTCATGGGCTTACCTGTTACGTAGTGCTGCCTCCCTAGAGCCCATCGACTGTCAGCTCCTCTCCCACCTTCAAGGCCTAGATCCTCAGGAGTCCCAGCTCTCACTGATGTGTGGATGACAGGTGTCTCCTCTGAAGAACCAATGATTCCTGGTGAGTCGCGGGAGGCAGAGAAGACTTTTGGACTTTTGGCAGAAGGGGGTCAGCCCTGGGCCTTTCTCCTCAGAGGAGAGGAAAGCTTGTAAGTCCCCTGCCCTGATCAGTGGTTGGCAGGGAGGATGGGGGATTCCCTGTCGTTCTAGGAATCCAGGCTAATCCTAAACTCAAGTACCCTCATTATGATACAAAATCTGATGGAAGCACAGGGGAAGGGTGGCTACCTCCTAAGTGTGGAAATAGCAGTGAGGGAGGCCGTCAAACATGATTTGCTGGAGTGGTGATGTCTAACCTCAGTCTTCAAACTCCTGACCTCAGGTGATACCCAGGGGGAAGTCATGAAGGGAGGGGAAGGACATTCTAGGCAGAGGGCACAATTTGAGCAGAGGGGCTAGACATGGCATCTAAGAAAGATCAAGTCTGAAGAAAGAAGAAGCAAAACATGAGCCTGCAGAGGTCAACAGTGGTCAGAATTTGGGAATCTGTTTAATCTACTGCTTTTTTTGATTGAAAATAGGGAGCCAATGAAGAGTTATAAAGAGAGGAGGTGACAATGGTAAAGTTTTGTCAGGTATAAAATGGGATAACCATGCAATATTGTATAATTCTGCAATAATCCTACAATCCTATGTAGGATTATTGCAGAATTATAGTATGATTAAGTCAGATGATGCATATAAAGTTCTTAGAATGGCACCTAAAAAATGCCCAGTAAATGTTAATGATGTTGATGTCAATGACGGTAATGTCCTATAGGAAAATAACCCGGAAAGTTAGAGGCCACCAAGGCAATCCAAACAGTAAGGAAGGTGTGGCCGGACGGACGGAGGCCAAGACCAGCCTTAAATAGAAATCCAGTGGGCCATGGACTTGTCTACCTGCTGGAGTAAAACCCAAGCTCCTTGGTGTGACTCAAAAGCACTAGGTGACCTGGCTTCTTCTTACACATTAGGCTCCAGCCATGTTATTTTCTTGCTGGTCTTCAAACACATCCAAACTGGCCCTGTGCCCTTGCTGTTCCCTCTGTCTAGACTGCCCGTCCCTCACATCTTTGAATGGCTGCCACTTTCTTGTCACAAAGCTCTTGGTTCAAATGTTACCTCCTCTGAGAGACCTTCTCAAGCTCTGGCACATCAGCCTTCTTGCCAGATGAAATGATCTTTCTTGTTTCCTTTTTTTTTTTTCTTTTTGAGATGGAGTCTTGCTCTGTCACCCAGGCTGCAGTGCAATGGTGCATTCTTGGCTCACTGCAACCTCCGACTCCCTGGTACAAGCAATTCTCCTGTCTCAGCCTCCCAAGTAGCTCAGATTACAGGCATGTGCCACCACACCCAGCTAATTTTTTTATATTTAGTAGAGACAGGGTTTCACCATGTTAGTCAGGCTGGTCTCGAACTCCTGACCTCAGGTGATACCCACCCATGTCAGCCTCCCAAAGTGCTGGGATTACAAAGTAATCCGAGCTACTTGGGAGGCTGAGACGGCAGAATTGCTTGTACCAGGGAGGCGGAGGTTGCAGTGAGCCAAGAATGCACCATTGCACTGCAGCCTGGGCAACAGAGCAAGACTCCATCTCAAAAAGATTATGCACCACTACGCCTGGCAAACTTGTTTTCATGTTTAATGTCTATAGCTTCCTATTCCCTAGAGGATGTAAACTGCATGAGGGTATGAACTATATCTTTCGTGTTCACTGCTGTATCCCTAGGTTCTTGAACACCATCTAGAACATGGAGACCCTCAATAAATGTTTGTCAGGAAAAAATAAAGGATCTGAAATGTCCATTAGAGAGTCATTCTCTTCAAGCTGTTCCTTGGAGAGGTGGCTGATCAAGATGTGATCAATTAGTAACACAGCTGAGTGGATTCAGTGAGATGATGACTTTGTGTAGGTAGAATCTGGGGACTAAAGAGAAGGGACGTCACAAAACAAAGTAAGTTCCAATGACCCAGGGTAATTTCCATGGCAGGGCTAGTCAGGAAGCTGCTACAGGACTTGGAGTCTAGACAGGTGACAGAAGGGTGAGGGTGGAGATGAGGTAGAAAGAGGCAGGTTTCAGAAGCATGGTCCATCAGAGGGGGCCTGAAGGGCCACAGGCTCAGGTCTTATATTCCATCAGGATCTTTAAATTTAGGCTGGGAGTAGTGGCTTACACCTATGATCCTAGCATTTTGGGAGGACGAGGCTGGGGCATTACTTTAAGCCAGGAGTTCGAGGTTACAGTGAGCTGTGATGGCACCACGGCACTCCAGCCTGGGTGACAGTATGAAACCCTGTCTCTAAATAAAATACAAATAAAATTTAAAAAGTAAAGATTATCAAACTTAGTATTTTAACATTATTTAGTATTTTGATTTTATCTCCAAAAGAGGTTACAATTAGTCACAGATACACCAACAAGCTTGAAAAAAAAAATGCTCATTTGTATAACTGTAATTAATAAATGCAAGTATCAAGATTATTCCAGAACTCATCTTTCTTTTTTTTCCCTTTGAGATGGAGTCTCACTCTGTCGCCCAGGCTGGAGTAGATTGGCACGATCTGGCTCACTACAACCCCTGCCTTCTGGGGGCAAGCAGTTCTCCTGCCTCCACCTCTTTAGTAGCTGGGACTACAGGTGCCCATCACTACATCCGGCAAATTTTTGTATTTTTAGTAGAGACAGGGTTTCACCTTATTGACCAGGCTGGTCTTGAACTCCTGACCTCAAGTGATCCGCCTGCCTCGGCCTCCCAAAGCGCTGGGATTACAGGCATGAACCACCACACCTGGCCCAGAACTCATCTTTCAAGACCGAGTTGTTGACATAGCATCTGACATAGTTGTTTTCCTCCTCCTGGCCACCCTCTTTTCACTGAGCGTCCAGGACACCGTACTCTCCTGATTGTACTTCTTTGCTGGCTACTCCAAGTCTCCTCTGGTGGTCCTTGCTCATCTCATCACCCACCCCAGAATGTCCGTTTCCAGAAGGCAGCAGTGAGTCCCCGGGGCCTCACCTTTAGTTCCTCTGGAGGAACACCTTCCATTGAAGCTGGCTCTCTCACTTCCTAATAGTCCATGTCTGAATGTCACTTTCTGAGAGGTCTCTTTCCCACCACCCTTCTTAACATTGCATTCCCTCCAACCCTCTCTCTCCTCTTCCTTCCCTTAATTTTCTCTAGTACTACCGAATGACATGTATTTCTTGTTTAATGCTTGTCTTCCCTGACTAGTATGTCAGTTCCAGGAAAGCAGAGGTTTGTATTTTGTTTACTACGATTTATTATCTAGAACAGTGTATGACACACAATAGGCCCTCAAGGAAATTTTGTTGTTCACGTTTCAATTTTGCAGGTTTGCATTTAAAAATATATAGGGAGCCTTACCAGGAGCCCTAGACTGAACGTGAGTGTAAGCACTGGTATGGTTTTCCTCCACACAGCCACCAAAGCAAGGGACAGAGCCAACACTCGAGAAAGATTTACTTAATTAATGACCCTCTGGAGTAGGGTAGCATTGTGTAGAGTTTGCAGGGGTGCAGCTTGGTTGTGGTGCTAGAAGGGGAAACAGCTGGGCTGCACTGGCTCAGGGACAGTCCCTGTAGACGGGTCACTGGAGTTCAACCCACAGGGACAAATTACCGTAGGAGCAACCAGCGGCATCCGCAGCGCAGCAGAGGTTCCACCGCGCAGCCGCAGAAGGCTCCGAGGCGCTAATGCGCAGCCGCAGAAGGAGCGGACTGGTCTGCGCAGCCGCAGGCGAAGCCGGCGGTATCTGGACAAGTTCTTCCCGGGCTGTTTCGCCCGCGGCCTCAGGAGGTTGGGCCTGGGCGGGTCTTGACCCTGCACCTCTCACCCGGGCGCGTGAGGCCGGCTCCGCTGCGCTGGCCTCGAGGCGCCAACCCTCCTCCCCTAAGCCGCCGCCATCATGGTGCCTGTGTTCACCCTGAAACTGCGCCACAAAATCAGCCCCCGCATGGTGGCCATAGGGCGCTACGACGGGACTCACCCGTGTCTGGCGGCCGCCACCCAAGCTGGCAAGGTAACCGCCCCCACCGGCAGGGAGCCCGGGCCCCAGGGAACCCCAGGACCTCCGCCGGCCGCGCCCCTGGGACCCCGCCTCCTCCCCGACCCCGCCCCCAGCCCGTATTCCCGGCAACCGTTACTCTGTAGCTCCATCCTTCTGAGGACAATGGGGTCTTAGAGGAACAGCTTTTCTGAGCAGTTGACGTTTTCTTGTCGTCAGGCACTTAGAGTCTGGCGAGGTCGGGGTCCCCGGACATAGAGAGCATAGAGAGCTTAGAGAAGAGACGTCTCCGGAGCGAACGGGCTTGGTCTGGGTTAGCAGTAATAACCGACCCCAGATTCAAGCCAAGGGCCTCATCTTGTCACTTGGAACTTGGAATTCCTCCCACTCTCTCATCACACTGCTTCTTCTTCTTCTTTTTTTGAGACGGAGTCTTGCTCTGTCGCCCGGGCTGGAGTGCAGTTGCGTGATCTCGGCTCACTGCAGCCTCCATCTCCCGGTTTCATGCAATTCTCCTGCCTCAGCCTCCTGAGTATCTGGTATTTCAGATGCCCCCCCACCACGCCCGGCTAATTTTTATATTTTTAGTAGAGACAATTTCACCATCTTGGCCAGGCTGGTCTCGAAATCCTGACCTCAAGTGATTCATTCACCTCAGATTCCCAAAGTGCTGGGATTACAGGCGTCAGCCACCGCACCCGGCCCCTCACACTGCTCCTTTATCGAACAAAAGAATGCAAAGACTCCTATATTATTCAAATTGCACTTTTGATCCTTGCCTATGTACATTCAGTTCTTTCCCCATAATTTATTCACTAAGGATTAGGTGCTTACTATGTGCCATTACTGTGCAAGGTGTGAGAGTCAAAGAGATAAAAGAGACACGATCATTTAACATTCACCAGACTTCTGCTGAACACCGCCTGTGTAGATTTTGGAGATGTAAAGTTGGAGTCCCTACTTTCAGAAAGCTTATAGTCCGGAAGCTAACAGACAAGGCATATCAAAGCCCTTTGTATTTGATGGAGGCATGCCCAAAATACATGGAAAGTAGTGACAAGGCTAATAACTTAAAACAGGCACAAAACTTTATTACATGAATCATCTCAGCATCATTGCTACAAGGCCAAGGGCAGCAGCGTGTCATAGGTATGGTGGTTCTTGGCTCCAGTATCTATTTATTTCATGACCTTGGGCAAGGCATTTAATAATAGTACATAATATATGGGGTCATGAGCTAAGCACTTTGCATATAGGAAGTGGTCACTAATTGTTATCTGTTATTTTCTTTTTATGAGTCTTACTTTACTGACTAGAAATTGCAGTTCAGAGAGGTTCAACACAGTACTTGGAGCCAGTCAAATAAAAGCGTGGAATGTGGCCAGAGTGTGTGTTGTCTGACCCAGCGTGGATTTAATAAGCTAGCATTTGTGTAACAATTTATAGTTTTTAGAACACTTCCACGTATGTTGTATGATACGCCTTGGGATATGGAAGTAAAAAGTAAGGCTTTATTTTCATTAAGTAGTATAACAGAGTTAAGCTATTAATATGGGGTCTGGCACATCATGATGTTAGTTATTGTTACTGTTAGAAGTCACTGATGGGCTGAGTGCAGTGGCTTACGCCTGTAATCCCAGCACTTTGGGAGGCCAAGGCCGGTGGATCACCTGAGGTCAGGAGTTCGAGACCAGCCTGGCCAGCATGATGATGAAACCCTGTCTCTACTAAAAATACAAAAATTAGCCAGATGTGGTGGTGGGCACCTGTAATCCCAGCTACTTGGGAGGCTGAGGCAGGAGAGTCACTTGAACCTGGGAGGCGGAGGTTGCAGTGAGTTGAGATCGTGCCACTGTACTCCAGCTAACAGAGTGAGCCTCTGTCTCAAAAAAAAAAAAAAAAGGCACTGACAAATGTTAAAAAGAACTTCATGTTGGTTGTGCTGTAGGTGCATAGCAGATATATAAATGGGCTGAAAATATCCCATTGATATTAACTCAGCCCCTAATTTGAGGGCATACTACATGCTAGGCAATGTTTGTAGCTCTGCAGGTGCATCGGAGAATGGCCCCCATGTAGTTTATATTTGAGAGGGGGAACCAGGCAGTTAACCGAATATGCAAGTGTCTTCAGAGGAGAAAAAGAATAAGGGATTCAGTATGGTGGGAGCTTGCTGTTTTACACAGGTGATCAGACGGCCTCTAATAACATTTGATAAGATGTTTGAAGGAACTGAGAAAGCAAGCTCTGCAGATTTGTGGGATAAGTGCCTTCCAGGCAAAGGGATCAGCAGGTGCAGAGACCTTGAGGTGGAGATATGTGTGGTGTGTTTCAGAAGCACGATGAAGCAGCTATGGTTGGAAGGCAATGAGGGTGGCCATGGGGTAGCCACAAGCCAGATCATATAGGAACCTGTAGGCCATGGCAAAGAGCTTGGTATTTATATTGAGTAAGTTGGGAAGCCCCTGACAATTTTGATAAAATGGGTGTTAGAAGTCGCTTTATGTTTTAGATAAAGGCTAACTGGCTGGTATGTGGAGGATGTTCTGTGATGGGACGCAGGGAGGTAGGTGTAGGAATAGAAGCAGGGTGATCAGGCAGAGGTCCCTAGCGCAGCCCTTATGCAGACTGTGACCTGGAGTGGAAGGTAGGACTGTTTGATTCTAGGGCTGTTTTCGAAAATAGCCAAAAATAAGTAAATAAATAAATTAAAAGGAGATCCCTTGTCTTGTGTAATTGGACGGATACTTTGTGTTCAGAACTATAAACAAATCTAAAAAGTTCTGGCCTGATCTTTTATCTTGAGACCTTAAAAAGAATTAGTAATATTTTACAATTCAAATAACACCATGAATATATTCTCTTAAAAGCAATTAAACATTCCAGCTAGGGTTAAAGCCTGCATCTCTAGAAACAGGACTTTATCATTATATCTGGGACGCTGTTGTGAACATGGAGCTGACTCTGGACCTTAGCAAGGATATTTTTTTAAAGAAATGTCTGTCTGGGCGTGGTGGCTCAATACCTATAATCCCAGAACTTTGGGAGGCTGAGACGGGCAGATCACCTTAGGTCAGGAGTTTGAGACCAACCTGGCCAACTCAAAGCCTGTCTCTACTAAAAATATACACCCATAATTCCAGCTACTTGGGAGGGTGAGGCAAGAGAATCGCTGGAACCCGGGAGGCAGAGGTTGCAGTGAGCTGAGATCGTGCCACTGCACTCTAGCCTGGGCACCAGAGTGAGACTCCGTCTCAAAAAATAAATAAATGAAAGGAATCTCTTGCAGGGTGAACATTAGAGTTTTCCTTTGGGGGAAAACTTTTTTTTTTCTCTCATGGTGATGCTTAGGGGTTAGTTTAATTTATATTTTTTATAACACCTCCTCAGCTAGAACAAATGTGTGAACTTCAGCCAGTCCTTTGGAAGCCCTGGGAGTGGTCATTTTGTTGTGTGACTGAGATTGTTTTCTTTCCTTGCCTGAAGGGACAGACTTGTCTCTCTGTGGACTCTCTTAGTGCAGAGAACAACAGGAGGGAACTGGGGAGAAATCTGACTCCTGAGATCCTTGCTGCTCTTTGTAAAAATCGCAAAGTCTTTCCATTCCAGTAAGAATGAATATGGGGCCCATAAGATATTTTCCCTCCTGTTCTTTCTCAACATATCTGATTTCTGGAAAACTCTGTAAGGATTCCTTTGTTCAGAACTGTTATAAAACAAAATGTGATATGGTGGCTGGAGCTCAGGGTCTGAAGCACACCAGGCCCTTGTCTTAGCCCTGTCACCAGTCTCAGGACCTTAGCAAAGGGCCTTAACTCTTCTGACTTCACCTGGAAATCAAGGATTGTTGTCAGGATCAAATGTAATTAATGTTTACCAAAGCATGTTATAAAGTGCTACACAGATGGGAACATGTGGCTGCACACCTCATCTATGTTTTTAGTCAGTTCTTTTAAAAATTATTTTTTGTTGAAGAGGCTGCCTTGGGTAGGTATTAATTTAAAATGAATTCTGTTTGGATTTATGCAAAAGGCATGAAATGCTCATGTAAATTTTACAAACTTTAAAACTAGAAGGGGCTTGAGGAATTCCTAGTCAAGTGTTTCTCATCTCCCCCTCCTTTTTTATATTGCCCACCTTGGAGGTTTTTTAGATTATGAAAATTTCCCCAGTGAAATTCTGATACCTCAGATATACTGTATATCTCTTTTTATAGTGTCGTTCTGTGAAGAGCTACATGATTCCCCTATTGGAAACCCAGTTACTTGTCCTAGGAGGGATCTTGCGTCTCTTGAGAATGCATTTTCTAGTGCAAACCTCCTTTTTACAGATGAAGTCCAAGAAAGTTGAATAATTTATGCAAACACTCAGATTATATTTATGATAGTTGAAACTGTTGAATTTATTATCTTTGGGCTAATTACTTAGTTCTACATCACTGGTATAAACTATGAACGCCTTCAAGATACTTGATTTGCATCACTCAGTTTAAGTTTGTGAAACAAATTTGCTAACTAGCAGACCATTTTAAGGTCTAGGAAGTGAATTCATTAGGTGCTGGGACGAGAAAGATAATAAAAGAAGTGTTTATTCTGTTTTCCATAATCTTCCCGGTGTGTGCCAATCTAGTTTCTAAGAGTACTTGGACATCTTGCTAGGAGGCAGCATGTAAGCTGGCCTGGTAAGCAGTGACTAGATCTTTTTCATTACCTTATTGCTTACAAGGCTAAGAACCACCTGATTTCCATGACTCATAATGACTGAAAGTTGTTCATGCATTGAACTATGTATAAGTGTTTTAAGTTTTATAGGAGATTAAAGTGACTTCTTGTTGATGTGTTAGTAACATGTTTTTTTTTAAAGTATGATACTAATTTTTTATATTTTAAGGGAATATAATTAACTGATTTTTGTTTTAGGTTTTTATTCATAATCCTCATACACGGAACCAGCATTTCAGTGCATCCAGGGTCTTCCAGAGCCCCCTGGACTCTGATGTTTCTCTTCTCAACATTAACCAGGCAGTCAGCTGCCTGACTGCAGGCGTATTGAACCCCGAGCTTGGCTGTGATACTCTTTTAGTGGGGACACAGACTAATCTTTTGGCTTATGATGTCTACAATAATTCGGATTTGTTCTACAGAGAGGCAAGTAATAACCTTCATAACCATAAAATTGTCATTCCTCATTAATGTCTTCTTCTTATGCTTGGAAGAGATGAGATCATTTATTTTGGTCTGTTTATTATGTGACTGTTACCGTGTAGATAAACAACATGGAGATTTTGCTGTTAACATCCGCTTTATGTACTCGGAACTTATTTATTTGGTTATGGGTGCTAATCACTTGGTGACACTTGAGTTTATGTGGTATATCTGTGAACTACCATCTGTCAAGACTCCTGTTGAGAATTCAGCCAAGAGCTGGGAAGCCAGTAGACAGGTCTCCTGGGGGACTTGCATTAAAGTTTAGTGCAATAGTTTATAGGAGAAGCCCTTAATGTCGCCTGCTACCTACAGGCTGCTGCAACTTTAATACCCAACTTTAATGCTCAGATATGAAGTTTTACAAACTTCCTTGTCTTTTCTCTGATAAATATGAATAGTTGAATTTATTATTTTTGGGTTAATTACTTAGTTCTGCGTCACTGGTATAAACCATGAAAGCCTTCAAAATACTTTATTTGCATGAGGTTGGTTACAGCAATTCGTATTTATTACAGAAAAGATAGGGAAGTGAAAGTAAAATAAATTATACCTATTTTTTTCATCTAGAGATAACAGTTAACTTTTGAATTGTTGAATCCAAATTTTTTACCAAGCATCTATGAATACATTTTGTAGTGAAATGGAATCATATATACATGTAGCCTTTTATTTTTTTTTTTACTCTATAGCAGCTTTATTAAGATATGATTCACATGTACAACTAACCTACTGAAAGTATATAGTTCAGTGGTTTTAGTGTATCCAGAGAGCTGTACAACCCTCACCACAATCAATTTTCAACATTTTTACCCCCAAAAGAAAACCCATACCCATTGGTATCATGCCCCATTTTTCTTTAACCTCCTAATCTTAGGCAATCAGTTATCTACTTTCTGTCCCTACAAGTTTGCATATTCTAGACATTTCATAAATAATGTAATTATATAATATGTGATCATTTGTGACTGCCTTCTTTTTCTTAGCATAGTATTTTCAAGGTTGATCCATGTTGTAGTCTGTGTCAGTAATTCATTTTTATGGCTGAATAATATTCCATTGTGTGTATATACCACATTTTACTTATCCGTTTATCAGTTAATGGACATTCCACTCCCTATTATGTGTGGCTCTTTCATTCAATAATATGTTGTGAACATCTTTGTATGAAGTTACTACATATCCGTTATGTCATTCTTATTGGTTCTATAGTATTTTGTTGTGTTAATATAATTTGTTTAACCATTCCATGTTGTTGAACATTTATATTATTTCCATTGTTTCTCTATTACACTTCATAGTGTAATAACTGTATACCTTTGACTACTTCCCTGATTATTTCCTAAGGATAAGTTCCTGAAAATGCAAATGGTTTTCTTTGTCTTTCTTTCTTCTTTTTTGCTTTTTGAGACAGAGTCTTGCTCTGTCACCCAGGCTGGATTGCAGTGGCACGATCATGGCTTATTGCAGCCTTGACCTCATGGGCTCAAGTGATTCTCCCACTTCAGCCTTCTGAGTAGCTGGAACTACAGGTGTGTACTACCACACTCAGCTAATTTTTTAATATTTATTTTTATTTACTATCTTTTTTGATACTGAGTTTTACTCTGTCCCCCAGGCTGAAGTGCAATGGTATGATCTCAGCTCACTGCAACCTCTGCCTCCCAGGTTCAAGCGATTCACCTGCGTCAGCCCCCACAAGCAGGTGGGATTACAGGCATGTACCACCACATCCAGCTAATTTTTGTATTTTTAGTAGAGATGGGGTTTTACCATGTTGGCCAGGCTGGTCTTGAATTCCTGACCTCAAGTGAGCCACCTGCCTCAGCCTCCCAAAATGCTGGGATTACAAGTGTGGACTACCACACCTGTCTAATTTTTTATTTGTTAGAGAGATGGGGTCTAACTATGTTGGCCAGGCAGGTCTCAAACTCCTGGGCTAAAGCAATCTTCCTGCCTCAGCTTCCGAAAGTGTTAAAATTATAGACGTGAGCCACAACACTTGGCTGGTTTTCTTCTTTGTATGTTTTTTGTTGAAGGTAAAATGTACATACATGAAAATGCACAGACCTTAAGTGTACAATTCAATGAGTTTGGATCCCTATAACCAATACCCCAATAAAAATACAGAACATTTTCATCACTTCAGAAAGTGTACCCTCTTCCAGTCAGTTTCTGTCTTCCATAGACCTTCACTGTTCTGACTTCTATCACCTTAGATTAGCTTTTCCTGTTGTTAAACTCCATGCAAATGGAATCATACAGAATGTATTCTTTGGTGTCTGGCTTCTTTCACTTAACATAATGCTTGCTAGAATGATCCATGTTGTTGCATATAGTAGTTTTTTGTTGTTGCTGAGTAACAAACATAGTATATTCCATTGTGTGAATATACTATGGGTTGTTTATCCACTCTCTCGGTGATAGACAAGATGGACATTTGGGTTGTTTCAGTTTTTAACAACAATTTTTATATAAGAATTTTTTAAAAAATAAGACTTTTTGTGGATATATGTTTTAATTTATCTTGGGTAAATACCCAGGAGTGGAATTGCTGGGCTGTATGGTTTATAAGAACTTTATAAAACACTGCCAAACTGTTTTTGCAAAGTGGTTGTTATCACTTTACACTCCTGCCTGCTGTAGGAGAGTTCCAGTTGCTGCACAACCTTTGTCAACATTTGTTGTTGCCAGTCTTCAATTTTAGCCATGTTGGAAGGTATAAAGTGATATCTTACTGTGGTTTCATTTTGCATTTCCCTGATAATCACTGACGCAAAGCACCTTTTCTTGTGCTTATTGTCCATTTATTTGTCTTCTGTGAAGTGTCTAAGTTTTTTGCCTATTTTTTTATCTGTTTATTATTGATTTGTAGACATTTCATGGATATACTGTATACAAGTTCTTTGTCAGATTTCTATGTAATAAATATTCTCTCAGTCTGTGGCTTGTTCCAGTAGATATGTATCTCTTGATGAGCAAAAGTTTTTCATTTTTATGAAGTCCAGCTGATCACTGTTTTTTTTAGTGGTTGGGACTTTTTTGCCGTTTGCTTGTTTCAAGGTCATGTTGTTTTTGTTCAGAACTGAAATTGTGTTTAGGATTGTAGTAGTCAGGGTTCTCTAGAGAAACAGAACCAATAGGATATGTACATGTTAGAGGAGGAAATACTTGTTTTCAGGAATTGGCTTATACAGTTGTGGAGCCTGGCAAGTGGAAAATCTGCATGGTGGGCCAGCAGGCTGGATACCTAGGAGAGAATTGATGTTGAAGCTCAAGTACAAAGGTTGTTTGCTGGTAGCATCCCTTCTTCCCTGGGGGAGGTCAGTTTTTTTTTTTTCTATTGACAATACTTAATAGAAAGTACTTAATAAAAAGTATTGAAGGACTTAATAGTAAAGCAGATTATTAACTATAATGTGAGTGGACCAATTAATGTGTGAGGCCCACCCACATTATGGATAATAATCTGCTTTACTCAAAATCTACTGATTTAAATGTTAATGTCATCTGGAAAATACCCTGACAGTGACTCTAGAATAATGTTTGACCAAATACCTGAGTACCATTGACTAGCCAAGTTGACACATAAATTCAGATTACAAAGAGTCAGCTTTACAATTGCCTAGTCCAAGACTATTTATTTATTTTATTTTATTTTTATAAAGACGGGGTTTCACCATGTTGGTCAAGCTGGTCTTGAACTCCCAACCTCAGGTGATCCGCCCGCCTTGGCCTCCAAAGTGCTTGGATTATTGGCGTGAGCCACCACACCCAGCCAAAGACTTTTTTAAAATGAGATTTTTGATAGGCATTGGTGAACTGCTCCCTAGAAATACTACCATTTTCCATACCCCCCTCAATAATGATAGTGCCTGTTTTATTACACCCTAACTAGTAGTGGATATTATTGTTCTTTTTCATTGCTAATCCAAAAAGTGAAAAATGATATATTGTGAGAATGAACATTTTTCATTTTCGTTGACTGTATTTCATCTCTAATATTTCCCATTTGTTTATTTTTTTGGTTGGGGTATTTACCGTTTTTGTATTTATTTGCCTTTTACTAACCTTTTTCTTATATTAACTTTTTGTCTTATATATTGTAGGGCTTTTTTTCTCACTTCATTGTTTACCTTTTAACTTTATTATTTCTTTGTCCACTTAACAGTTATAATTTCTTATGAAGTCTTTTCTTTCCTATATAGCCAATCTTTATTGTTTTTCTACTTAAAGATTATGTAAGTAACACTTATTTTCCTATACAATAAACAGTGTTTATAAAGATGTCCTTGAGTCTATAGAAATAAATTAACTTATACTTATGTAATTTATTCAAGAAGTCTAAGATACTTATTTTGGATGGTGGGGCCATGGGTGTTTTATTATTCTTTGTACTTTTTAGTACAAAGAATAGTAAAATTTAAAAGAGTAGTAAAGAACTGGATTATAAGTATTTAAAAGATCTCTATCCAAAATGGTTAAAACAAATTCAGAGTTTGGGTGCTTAAAGGCTTAAGTCTTGATTCTCTGGAGAATTTGCCCTCTGGAACCTGTGGTCCCAGAGAGCCCCAGAGTATCATAGCAGGTTTTTGTAGCAGCTTAGTGTGAGAGCCAGGGCTCTGATTTACCCTGCATCTGTGCTCATCCTTGCAGAAGCCACAGCATTAGGTCTCGGTGGACAGCCCTGGCTGCCCTCTCAGGAAACCATCTGGCTTCTCACAAATGATGACAGAGGAATTTGGGTATCCCAAAAAAATATGGATATACATTACCTTCAGTGTGCCTGCAGATGATTATGTCTAAGATAATGTGTCCTTTTACTTTTCTTAGGTAGCAGATGGGGCAAATGCAATTGTGCTGGGGACTTTAGGAGACATTTCTTCCCCTCTTGCAATTATTGGTGGCAATTGTGCTCTGCAGGGTTTCAATCATGAAGGAAGTGATCTCTTTTGGACGGTATGAAGAAGAAAACATTCTTTTTGGTACTCTTAAGCATTTTTACTTTTAATGTTCTTTTTTAACCACCAACTCTACTGAATAATTAAAATATAGAACAATATCTATAATTCTGTATATTAAAAAAGAATATGAATAATTTGAATAACATTCATTTGTGTTTTGTGTAATCCTCTCTTTCACGTAGCTAATATATTTGGAGTAAATGAAGAAAAGATGGCAAGCTAATGGTTTGGGGTTTTATTTTCAGGTTACTGGAGACAATGTTCATTCCTTGGCCTTGTGTGACTTTGACGGTGATGGAAAGAAAGAGGTATGTGGGGGTGGAGATACCTCTCTTCTGTGTTTAGCGGAATAAATTTTGTCATGACAGTGACAAAAAGGATTCTCCTGGCTGATTTTGCCAGGAGAATGCCCAAATGCTGAGCTAGTTGACCTCATTTGTCTTTCTCTTCTCTTTTGAACAGTAAATCACTTGTGCTTGTCTAATAAATACAAAGATCAAAGCCATGGTGTTTCAGAGACTCAGGAGGGTGCAGAGAGGGTAGAGGATCGCAGTCTCATGAATTGCTCCTCATACTTTGAAACCATGTTAGTATGTAGTTTTCAATTTTGGCCAATTTTTTTGAGGAATCTAAATGTTTTAGAAATGGGCTTTTAGCCTTTGAAATTATTCTTTTTTTTTTTGGGTGGGGGAGGAAGGGAGGGAAGAAGGACGGTAGGGAGGAAGGAAGGGATGAAGGAAGGAAGGAAGGGAGAAAGCGGGGAGGGAGGGAGGGAGGGAGGGAGGGAAGGGAAGGAAGGAAATCAAGCAATGAGAGAGACATTGCCGACCTGGATCTAGAGGTTTACAAGTTGATTTTTTTTGAGAGAACGAAAGAAAAAAAAAATAATAAGTAAAGGAGAGGAAGAAAGAGGAAGAGAAAGAGGGAGAGTAAATGGAAATACTGCTTTATTTTGAAAAAACTTGGGTATTAATAATGGCCAATCAATGTTTCATTTAAACTTATGGGTAGGTGTGATGTGGTATTGACAAGAATGTATATTTTGTGTATTTGAAGTGGAGAGCTCTATAAATATTTATTAAGTTTACTTGTTCCGGATCTGAGTTCCAGTCCTTGATATCCTTATTAATTTTCTGTCTCATTGAATCTAAGTCTCGTATCTGGGTGTTAGGATCGTTAGCTCTTGTTGTTGCATTGATCCTTTTACCACTATATCTTTGTTGCTTTAAAATCTATTTTATCCGATACGAGAATTGCAACTCCTGCTTTTTATTTATTTATTATTTATTTTTGCTCTCCAATTGGTTGGTAAATCTTTCTCCATCCCTTTGTTTTGAGTCTTTGTGTGTCCTTGCATGTGAAACAGGTCTGGATGTAACATGCCATTGGGTTTTGGCTGTGTCTTTTGATTGGGGGATTTAGTCAATTTATATTTAGGGTTACTGCCATTTGATGTTGACTGGCTGTTTTATCCATTTGTTGGTGTAAATTCTTCTTTATGTTGGTGCTCTTTACTTTTTGGTGTATTTTTAGAAAGGCTAATACTGGTTGTTTCTTTCTGTGTGTAATGCTTCTTTCAGAAGCTCTTGTAAAGCAGGCCTGGTGGTAATAAAATCTCTGAGTTCTTGCTTGTTCATAAAAGATTTTATTTTTCCTTCAGTTGTGAAGCTTAGTTTGGCTGGATATGAAATTCTGGGCTGAAGGTTCTGTTCTTTGAGGATGTTGAATATTGGCCCCCACTCTTCTGGCTTGTAGAGTTTCTGCTGAGAGATCTGCTGTAAGTCTGATAGGCTTGCCTTTGTGGGTAACCTGACCTCTCTCTCTGGCTGCCCTTAGTATTTTCTCCTTCGTTTCAACCCTGGTGAATCTAATGATTATGTGCCTTGGGGTTGCTCTTCTTGAGGAATATCTTTGTGGTGTTCTCTGTATTACCTGGGGTTGAATGTTGACTTGCTTTGCTAGTTTAGGAAAATTTTCCTGAATAATATCCTGGAGGGTATTTTCCAGCTTGGATTCATTCTCTCTGTCGCATTCAGGTACACCTATCAAACGTAAATTTGGTCTTTTCACATAGTCCCACATTTCTTGGAGACTTTGCTCATTCATTTTTATCCTTTTTTCTCTAATCTTGTCTTCTTGTTTTATTTCATTAAGTTGGACTTTGACCTCTGATATCCTTTCTTCTGCTCGAACAATTCGAGTGTTTAAACCTGTGCATACTTCTCGGAGTTCCTGTATTGTATTCTTCAGTTCCATTAATTCACTCATACTCCTCTCTAAGTTGTCTATTCTCAATAGGATTTCATCAAACTTTTTTTCAAAGTTCCTAGTTTCTTTACGTTGGGCTACAACATGTTCTTTTAACTCACCGAAGTTTGTTATTAACCATTCCTTGAAGAGTGATTCTGTCATCAGGATGCGCTCGTTCTCCATCAAGCCTTGTTCTATTGTTGATGTGGAACTGTGATCATCTTTAGAGGGAGAGGCGATCTGACTTTGAGTATTCTCAGCTTTTTTACGCTGGTTTCTTCCCGTCGTTGTAAATTTATCCTCCTGTCGTCTTTGAATTTACCAACTTTCAGATTAAGTCTCTTGAGTGGACGTCCAGGTTGTTAGTTCCCAGGGCCAGAGCAGCGGCGTTAAAACTGATGGTGCTTTTCTGCCCAGGATTCTCCTGTCTGGCTTCCTTCTTGTGTCCGCAGTAGGCGACTCTGCCTTCCCGGGGCTCCAAACCTCGGTCAGAAGGGGAACTGGTCCCGTTTACTCTGCGCCGAGCGCTGCCGCGCTGAGGTGCCGTCACAGCCGCTGCACCGGGCTCTGGTGTTGTGTTGGGGGCCCGTGCGGGTCCTCCAAACCGGTTTACTCTGCTCCGAGAGCTGCCGCGCCAAGGTGCCGGAGGAACCGCTGCGCCGGCCACGAGAGTCACGCTGGCCACCCGTGTGTTTCCTCCACTGGGGGATCTTCTGCTCCATGAGCGACCAGAATTTGTCTGAAAGTGTGGCGTCCTCTAGTTCTCCGCGCCTTCCCTGAGAGCTGCAATCCCGGGATGTTAGCGATCGGCCATCTTGGATCGTTCCCCCGCCTTTGAAATTATTCTTATGGTTACCCTAGAAATTAGCTTCTTGAGCAGTAGGTATGAAGTGCTGTGTTGGGCACTGACTTGCCCCTCTCTTATCCATGGACACTGGGCTCTGGTGTTTGAACAGGGCTTCCATCTGTAGGCAGAGAAAGTTGCTGATCCAGGGAGCATTTTCAGGTACTTAGGGAAATAACTTATTCTGGCAAGATATGCAATTCCAATGGCAGGATAAAAGCTGTAGTAGACCCTGTTTCTTCACTGACTGAATGTGCTGATCCTCCCAATAGAGGGAGCATTCCTGAGCATCAGACTATTAGGAGGTAGTCAGTCTTGGGTGGCAGTAGCAGCATGGAAAGTATTGTGCAACCTTTTGTTTTGTTTATGAAAATTTTGTTGTTTTCACTTACCTAAACATGTATGATATTTCCCTTTCAGCTTCTTGTTGGATCTGAGGATTTTGACATCCGAGTTTTTAAGGAAGATGAGATTGTGGCAGAAATGACAGAAACAGAGGTAAGAAGTGCCACCTTGAACTATAGTAACCTTGGACAAGATAGATCAGCACTGTTAGATGAAACATCAAGTGAGAGTGCTGGGGGCATCTCCCAACCCAGATGGTTTTAGGATAAAAACTGTGGGGGTCAGACAGAGCTGTATGTTGTGGAAAGAAAAGCAGTAAAAATTCTAATTAAGATATATTTTGAAAAGATTAATTAAATAGAGAAAAATTATTGAGTATAGTTGAATACATAAAGGCATTTCTTAGTTAATACATGCAAATAATAATGTCAACTATTTATTATGTACCTATCATATGCCAGGTAGTGCTCTAAGTACTTTATATGAAGTAACTTATTAAATCCTTACAACATCCCTAATAGGAAGATAAATTATTATTTCCATAGATGAGGAAACTGATGTTCTGGTTGTTTGTTTGTTTGTTTTGAGGCAGAGTTTTCCTCCATCACCCAGGCTGGCGTGCAGTGGTGTAATCTCAGCTCACTGCAACTTCCACCTCCCAGATTCAAGTGATTCTCATACCTCAGCCTTCTGAGTAGCTGGGTCTACAGGTGCGTGCCACCCCCATGCCCAGCTAATTTTTGTATTTTTAGTAGAGATGGGGTTTTGCCATGTTGCCCAGGCTGGTCTTGAACTCCTGACCTCAAGTGATCCACCCACCTTGGCCTCCCAAAGTGCTGGAATTACAGGGGTTAGCCACTGTGCCTGGCCTGATGTTACATTTTTGTTAAGTTACTTGTACAATATCTTGGCTATGAAGTGTCATGGTCAGCATTTGAACCTTTATGCCTCTTCTTCCTCATCATCATCATATGTATTGAATAGGGCTGAAATGCATAAATGAGATTTTTATATTTTTTTTCTTCTTGCAAATTCAGTACTTCTTAGGCACATTTCTGTAGGTAAGCTTAAAAATTAGGTGTTAGTTACTCCAGCTCTAAAAAAAAAATTAGGTGTTAGAAACTTGTGATTAGAATTACTCATGTAATGGAACCTGAGATATTTCTTTTAAAAGTTTAAACTTTATTTTTAAAAAGGTAATGTTTAGGCCTGATGCAGTGGCTCATGCCTGTAATCCTAGTGTTTTGGGAGGCCAAGGCGGAAGGATCACTTGAGGCCAGGAGTTTGAGACCCACCTGGGCAACAAGACCCCATCTCTACAAAAAACATAAAAAATTAGCCAGGTATGATGGCACATGTCTGTAGTCCTAGCTGCTTGAGAGACTGAGGCAGGAGGATCCCTTGAGCCCAGGAGCTTGAGACTACAGTGAGCTATGATCGCACCACTGCATTCTACCCGGGGCAACAGAACAAGACTCTGTCTCAAAATTAAAATGAAAAACAAAGTAACAGTATTAAGAGTTAGGAAAATAAAGGCAAAAAGAAAATAAAAAGCAATATCTAAAGATTACCTGTATCCTTTATGGTTTTGACATTCTTATGATACTTATTTGCTGCTAGTTTTCAGGATTGGGTAGCTGAAACAGAAAAAAATTTTAAGGTATTCTTACGGAATAAGAAGAGGATAAAGGAGCAATGGCTTGTGAACATTGTAAATGGACAGAAAGAAACCAGTGAAAGGGAGTCTTAGAGATCAGAATGGTGGGATTCTGCAAAATTTAGTTATGTGGTATTTAGGAAACTGTATTAGAAACGCTTGAGGACACTGGTCTCAAAACTAACCTTGGCCACTTGTCCTTAAATTTCTTGCTTCTTGCCACTCATAAAAGCTGTCTAAGAAGGTCACTTCTTTTCCTGTAACTAAAAAGGAGACCAAAAAGCAAAACCTACATATTGATGTACAGTGTTATCAATGACTTTAACGAATTTATCCAAAGCAAGAGTTATCAGTTTTTACTAAGTCCTACTATACCTTTTATATGTTCATAGGCAGTATGATGTAAGATGATAGTTGTGGACAAAGAAGAAATGAAGAGGACAAATGAGTGCCAAAAGGAGCAGTCTGAGGATGTGTGTCTATACAGGGAGTCTGTTTTTTTTTTTGAGATGGAGTTTTGCTCTTGTCACCCAGGCTGGAGTGCAATAGCACAATCTTGGCTCACGGCAACCTCTGCCCCGCCAGGTTCAAGCGATTCTCCCGCCTCAGCCTCCCGAGTAGCTGGGATTATTGGCACCCACCACCACACCCAGCTAATTTTTGTATTTTTAGTAGACACGTGGTTTTGCCATGTTGACCGGGCTGGTCTCAAAGTCCTGACCTCAGGCAATTCACTTGCCTTGACCTCCCAAAGTGTTGGGATTATAGGCGTGAGTCACGCACCTGGCCCTGGAGTTTGTTTTGTGTGCATGTGCTTACCTGTGCTTTCTGGGGGAGGGCCCGGAGCCTTCATCAGATTCTTAAAGAGGTTTGCAACCTCCCCCACCACTAAAAAAAACAACTTGAGAATCCCTGGCTGATAGGTGCTATGTCCTGCATTCTCATATCCCTTTCATTCTAATTTGTGGTAAATATTTTCTCCTTTGGTGGGAATCATTCAGATTTTGTTGGATTTCTGTGGTTTGTTAATACTAGATGTGAGGAGACTGAAATCTTTGAAACACCTCTTTCCTAAATCCTAGAAAAGAGGATAAGAACCTGGAATAGAGTTAGGGATTTGAGGGGACTTATTGATCTTCTAGTCCATGAAAGGAAAGAACTGGTGAACTAAGGAAGCACTAAAGGAGCTCAGGAATCTGGGGCTAAATTTATGAAAATATGGACTTTATAACATTGTTCATTTGCAGGGCCATTTTCCTGTTCTCTTTGTTAAGTTTTTGCTCCTAGTTTAAATATCTTTTCCCGGATCAGCAAAATCATGATTCATTTGGCAGTTGAACAATACGAAGTGTTGTCAGAAGAATGCCCTGAGCTAAATAATTCTGGAATCCTACACAGCACTTTGTATTCATAGTTAAGTGAAGTGGGTGGTTTTGTAGAAAAGCTGTAGGTGTAAAGGAAATTATATAACTATCCTCTGCTTTATACAATTTATTTCTTAATATCTCTTGTATTAGGAGCAGAATTAGAAAGTAATCTGCAGAATAATGGATATCATTAAGCTTTGGTTTTAACTTAAAGGAAAGTTTTGTTCAGTACCTAAAATTTTATCCTTTTAAGGATGTCAAATCCTTGAACAGTCCTGTAACTATTTCTGTATCATATATGCATACTGTATATTGTTATATACTACACAGATCCATGTGCTTGGGTTTTTACTTTTCAAAGGATTGTGTGTTCTTTCTTTTACTGCTAGCTAGCAAACAATAAATTATGTCATAGAAAAGTATACATATGAAGTAAGGTATTCAATTGTGGATTGTTGTAAGTCTTAAAAATTTAGACTGTAGGACATTATAAGTTAAGTAATCATTAAAACTTTTTAGGTGAACATATATAATATCTATTGTATGTGCATATTCTTGATCTTGTGTACTTAGCTTATTTCTTACTTAGTCCCATTAGTTTTCATGTGTTTTTTAAAAATAATTTCCTGAAACTTGCCACATAAGGTTGCTCTAAAACACCAAATCGTGTGAGTTTATTTAAATCTGATTATACAACTCTGAAATAGATGACATGTATCATAGAGAAGAGGAATACATTCCCCACTAATGGATTGAAATTCCCCACTAGTGCCTTTAAATCTAATTTTAACATAGTTGTAACAAGGCATGTGAAATCTTATAAAGCTGTACTTCACAGTAAACTGTAAATTGAGCCTTAATGAAAAGATGTTGTGTTTTTATGTATTGTTTTCCAGGTAGTCACCTCTCTTTGTCCCATGTATGGCAGTCGATTTGGTTACGCCCTTTCCAATGGCACAGTTGGAGTTTATGACAAAACAGCCCGATATTGGAGAATTAAAGTTAGTATAATTCAGCCTTTGATATTCAGGGACTTGATACATATTGTGAGACTTCTGTGCTAATTATTGGAATTCTTTTTCAGTCGAAAAATCATGCCATGAGCATTCATGCTTTTGACCTTAATTCTGATGGAGTGAATGAACTGATAACTGGTTGGTCCAATGGGAAGGTAAGTTTGAATAGCAAAGTTCAGGACATTCAAAGTACTAATTGTCCAAGGTGTATTGACTATAGGACTTAGAAACATAATGTTGGGATGTAAACTTCAGTTCCTTGGCTGTGTTTTCACATTTAACTCAATACTCTTAACACATTATTCCTGCTATCATTATCAAGAACTGCAAAATGAGAGAGTGTAAGTCTTGTAAGTGTTGTTTGGGGGAAATCTTCAGGGAGATTCTTTCTAAATCTCTTTTTTGAAGGACTGAGAATCCATCAGCTAGGATGACTCTAGGGAGTAGGACAGTAAAAAAAGGAGTTTTAAGGAATTGTTTGAAAAGCTCTTTTCTAATAAAGCTTCAGAACTGCCTGAAAACTTAGCACTAATGGGAAGAATCATGTTAGCATATTGTTTTCTGAGCTATAACTTAAAATAAAATCCTTTTGCTTGCTTTCCTTTTTTAACTTCAAATCAGAATTTTTTACAGTCTTTTGGCAAGTCAGGATTGTCTTCTTAGAAGCTACCTAGGTAGCTGCCAGGTCTCCATGGATACCATTTGCCCTCGCTTTCTTGTCTGTCAGTGTTGGGTTGCCTGAAGCGGATGAGCAAGTTCTTATCTTTTCTTCTTTGATATATCTTTACTTTTCTCTAGCACTTTATAAGCATTCCTTTGGTGTTATGTGAAGAACAGATTCTAAAGAGCTGTTATGTCAGTTTCTGCTTTTCCACTTAGTTTTGTCATTACTATGGGTACTAAAATTTAGAAGACTGTATAGTTGCTTATTAAGAAAGTCTGTGAAATGGATGTCTTAGTTGGTTTGGGCTGCCATAACAGAATACCATAGTGTGGGTGGCTTATAAACAACAGAAATTTATTTCTTAAAGTTCTGGAGGCTGGGAAGTCCCCTATCAAGGTGTTGGCAGATTCAGTGTCTGGTGAGGGATCACTTCCTTATAGACAGAAGCCTTACATGATGGAAGGGGCAAGGGATGTCTCTGGGCCTTCTTTTATAGGACGCTAATCTTACTGTTCATGGGGGTTCTGCCCTTAATACCTATTCACCTCTCACTTCCCAATACCATTACCTTGGCTGTTAGGATTCAACATACGAATTTTGTTAGGGCACATTCAGACCATAGCAGTGGACCATCTATTGAGGGAATAGAAATTATTATGACTGATTTAAGTATTAGAAAACTACTAGATTTGAAAACTTGTCAGGTTACCTTGAAATATAACTCTTGACCTAGATTTTTTTTTAGTTAAATGTTTTTGAAATTTTAAGGAATTTCTATTATGTAATGTGCTCTTGAGCATGAAAAAGATAAGAAAATTATATAAGTGGAAAAACCGATTGTCTACATTTAATAGAAATATACAAAAGGGAAGCATACAGATCCACCTGGTGAATATGGGTGTGAAAATACTAAATAAATGCTGCTAGCCAATTCACTTCATCTTTTGTATGTCATTTGATGAGTTGGAGGGCCATCCTTTCCTTTCAGGGTAAAACCTCCATGTTGGATTAAGCAAAACATCAGAATATCCACAGAAAGATTAATTTGTAGTCCTGCTTCTTAGTTAGCAAATGAACCTTCTATTTGCTACATATTGTGGAAATGCAGTGCTAACAGCCATTAGGTAGCTAGGCTTTAACTAAAACGTTGCAAGTTCAAGTCAGTCTGAGTTAGGGTTACAGTAATGTGCTTTGGTAAAAATACAGGTCATTCATTCTTTCATAGGCTTTAGCATTCATAATTGTCAGGCTTCCATGATGTTATTAATAGCATGGATACTTGACAGTGATATACTGTAGACAAGGGATAGGCTGTGACCTAAACTACTTTATGTTTTGGTTGCAAAATTTTCCCCAGAAGATTGTTTATAAAAAGACAAAAATAGTGAGTAGCATTGGTCATTGAAATGATTGTTCTGCCAGATTTTCTGTAGATAATACCTGTGTCCTTGCCTGGAACATAATCATCATTTTTTGTTTTTTGAGACAGAATCTCATTCTGTCACCCAGGCTGGAGTACAGTGGTGTGATCTTGGCTCACTGCAACCTCTACCTCCCAGGTTCAAGCAATTTTCCTGCCTCAGCCTCCTGAGTAGCTGGGACTCCAGGCTCATGCCACCACGTCTGGCTAATTTTTTGTATTTTTAGTAGAAATGGGGTTTCACTGTATTAGCCAGGATGGTCTCAATCTTCTGACCTCATGATCTGCCCACCTCTGCCTCCGAAAGTGCTGAGATTACAGGCGTGAGCCACCACGCCCGGCCTCATAATCATATTTTAAGTGATGGTCATTTATTATTGCTTTTGAGATGCATTTGTTTCTGATCAGTCATTTATTTATTTGCTCTATCTCTTGGGAATGGGAGACTTAGAGGATAGGAAAGCTCTCTAAGATATCTGAATAGTTTTTATGTGGAAGAGGGAGGGACTCTTAACAGGGTTGTTGTAAAAGGTCGTGTGGTGGAAGACTGGGCTAACTCCACAGTTTTTGAACTTCAGTTTAAACATACTTTATACATTTATATATAATAAAGATACAACTTTTATACAGAGCTAACATTTATTATATACTTCTGTGTGTCAAGCCCTGTTTATATACGTTAACTTCATTATAACCCAATGAAGTGTAGTACTGTTATTTTCTCCATGTTCTGGTTATTGTTCCTCGGATGAAAAGACCAAGCACAGAATGATTAAGACACTAAGATGCTGTGGATAGTATGTGTTAGAGCTGGAGTCTGAACCTGAGCAGTTTGGCTATTAAGCCCATGCCCTTTGCACTGTGCTGTGTGTACTATATGTACTGGCTCTTAGGAGACCCGTTTCTTGAAATGAAGCATTGTGTGAAGGCCAGTATGAAAAACAGCTTTTATTTAAAAGGAAGAAAGCACAGCTGGTTGAGGCTCCTTTGGGTCCATCTTGGCCCCAGCAGTTATAGGTATTTTCCTGAGAAGTCGTAGGGCTTTATAGAACATTCTTGAAAACTGCTAGACTGAATGACCTTTAAAGCTGATTTTTATTTTTAAATTTTGTGGTTTTTAAACATATAGCCTAAGCAATTTTTTAAATTCTTGTTTTATTTTTAGGTTGATGCTCGAAGTGACCGAACTGGGGAGGTCATCTTCAAGGACAATTTTTCTTCTGCAATTGCTGGTGTGGTAGAAGGAGATTACCGGATGGATGGCCACATACAGTTAATCTGCTGCTCAGTGGATGGGGAAAGTAAATTGGGATGAGGAAAATCCTTGAAAAGTCACACTTTCCGTTTGATTGGGTCAAAATACCAGGAAATTTCCCTAGAAGTATTTGTATTGAGATCCTCTAGTTCTAATCAATTCACCAAAGTTGGGGAGAACTTAGGTGTTTGTTTTTAAGAGCAGTTAATTGATGACCTAAATGTATACCTGGTTATACTTGGGGTATTTTCCTTCTGTTCAGTCCGGGGCTACCTGCCTGGCATGGCTGAGATGAAGGGAAACCTCATGGACACCAGTGCAGAGCAGGACCTAATTCGAGAGCTGAGTCAGAAGAAGCAGAATCTGTTGCTGGAACTCCGTAACTATGAGGAAAACACCAAGGTAGGTCCTAATGTGACAGGGTAATGGAGGCTAAAACGTTGAGACTGATGGGGAGAATTGGCAAATGTGGAAGAATGGGAGTGTCATTGCCAGGGTGTGGCCTTTTTGCCAGTGTCAGAATTGAGAGGGCATATATCCTTTGATCTTGAAATTTCACTTCCAGGTGGTTAAATTGCAGAAATGTTTTCCTGATTGTTCGAGGATATTTCCTGCATCACTATTTATTTATAGCAGTGAAAACAGCTGGAAGCAACTTAAGTTTTCATCAGCAGTAGGGAGTATGTGCTGGGGAATCTTAAGCAGTTCAAAGAATGAATACTTGGACTGATATGGAAGGATATCTGTGGTCTTATTAAGTGACAAAAGGCAAGAACAATATGTATAGAATGTCTTTTATCTTTTTCAAAAGCAAATCATTTAAAAATTGGCAACTATAAAAACACTGTGTGTATGTACAGCAAACTGGCTGAAATGTTACTTTAATTTGTCCTGTCATGTGTTACTGTATTTGAGTTTGGTGTACTATGGGAATTTCTTTTCTTTCTTTAAAAGAATAATACTTACAAAATGTAAAAGTCATGATGAGATACAGTGGACCATACCCATAGAAAGAGGCAAGGGTTTTTTTCCCACAGGGCCAGACAGAGCAAGGGAGTACAAATAAGGTGAATTCTCTGAATTCTGAAGAATCAGATTACTATATTAATAAGATGCTGTAGACTATGTCTTTTGAAGCTGAGTAGCGATATTATTTAAAATTGATATTAGTTCAGTGTTTTGGTGATTGAGCTGGAAATGGGTGAGGTGTTTTGCAGGCTGAATTGGGCAGTCCACTGAATGAGGCTGATGGTCATCGGGGCATAATTCCAGCCAATACCGGGCTCCACACCATACTCTCAGTCAATTTGGGGAATGAGACCCAAACTGCTCATACAGAAGTATGCATATCTACTTCTAATGGTAAGACAGTATTTATAGCTGGTGTTTAGAGGCACCTGTGCCATCTTGGAGTTGCTCTTTAACTGTTTTTCCTCTTCCCTGCAGACACCATCATCCGAGCAGTACTGATTTTTGCAGAGGGAATTTTTGCAGGTGAAAGCCACGTGGTACATCCCAGCATTCACAACCTCTCCAGTTCCATCCGCATCCCTATTGCGCCTCCCAAAGATGTCCCTGTGGATCTGCACTTGAAAGCATTTGTGGGTTACAGAAGCAGGTGACCCTTTGCAAGTCACAGTTCATTTTTTCCATATGCCCCGTGGATTCTGGGGGTCCTGAGAAACTGTTTAATGGTTCTATCTACCCAGTCACAGTTTCCCATGATCTTTCATTTCCTCAATTTGAAACCTGTAAAAAGAAAAAGAAAAAACTGATATGTAAATTTAAGATGGTTCTTTTTTATTTTTTTACTGAGACAGAGTCTTGCTCTGTTGCCCATGCTAGAGTGCAGTGGAGCAATCTCAGTTCACTGCCACCTCTGCCTCCCAGGTTCAAGCAGTTCTCCTGCCTCAGCCTCCTTGAGTATTGGGGCCACAGGTGCCAGCCACCATACCCACCTAATTTTTGTATTTTTAGTACAGACAGGGTTTCACTGTGTTGGCCAGGCTGGTCTTGAACTCCTGACCTTGGGTCATTCGCCCTCCTTGGCTTCCCATAGTGCTGGGATTATAGGCATCAGCAACCGCACCTGGCTAAGATGATTATTTTCTGTTTTTAGTCAGGTGATCTCATAATCACAAAATGTTTAATTGATGATTTGTCAACTGTGGTTTTGGCCACTAAAAGTGTAAGAGTTAAGATGAACCTTTATATTACATTCATACATAACCTCAGCTAGTGAAGAAGAACTGCAATACTTGGAGAAGATAAGAAGCTTTTAACATCCCCTTTATGGTGTTTTAAATCCTTAGTGCATGCAGGTATATATGTAGACTCATGCTATCTCTAAATCTGAAATCTAATGTATTGCTGTAGTACTTTAACCCTCATGTGTTTTGGGGTTTCTTCTTAAGTGAAATCCTTAAATATCAATTGGTAGCCCAATAGTGGCTTTATTTTCTGGGCCTTGCACTTTGAAGCAACATTTTATACAAAACAGTTCTCTTGTGTTTCATCTATTGGCCATAGCACCCAGTTTCATGTATTTGAATTGACAAGACAGCTCCCTCGATTCTCCATGTATGCACTGACCAGTCTGGACTCTGCCAGTGAGCCAATCAGTTATGTTAACTTTACCATTGCAGAACGGGCACAGAGGGTGAGTATCTCACTTTTCTCTTTCAATGCTTTTGCATGGTAGAATCCTTTAGATGTGATTTCATAGAAAGGGGAAATGACATGAATGTGTTATATTGTTAGCAGTAAATATGAAAGAATTCTCTAATTTGGGGGTGACTTACAACCTGTAATAAAAATATTCCTAAAATGTCTTCTCTCACTTTGAAAAAGCATCTGAGCAATCCTTGGTTATTGGTGAGTTATTACCAGTGTTTAATTCTTCTCTTCCTGTTATGGTTTCAAGAGAGTATTTCAAGAGGAACCTGCAGCAAGATGAAAAGAAGTGGGACTTGGAGCTAAGAACATTTTTGGCTTTAAGTGCTACCTTAACTCATTAAATTCTTAGTGATCTTGGGAAATTCCCTTCACCAGTGTGAACCTCAGTTTTCTTATCTGTAGGTGAGGATAATCTTTATATTATCCCCCCCACTTTATTGGGGGGGCCCTGAGGATTACATGATTGGCATGATAATAGCACCTTGTAAATTTGAAAGTACTAATACTAGTGGACTTTAATCTTGGCTGAGCTTTGGAATTCTTGGTGAGAGTTTTTAATCATGTAGATTCTCAGGCCCCTGCCTGGCCTGTGGAACCACAAACACTATAGGTGGGCCCTTCCAGAAGGCCTCATGGAGGGTCTCATGTGGAACCAGTGTTGCAAGCCACTTCATGGTGTTACTGCTATTAACATTAAAACTTATATTTTTATTATTGCATGGATGTATCTGTGATGTATGCACATTGTGTACTTCATTTTACATTTCTTAAAGAATAGAATGGAATAGTTTTAAGCACACTACATTATCCAGTTTATACCCACAGAAGAGCTGTTGTGTAACAGAATCAGCAACATACCTGAATCATTTATACATTGCATATAAGACTATGTCTTAGTAGAGGATGATATAAAATCACATCTGTTGTAGGACCAGGCATAATTATGAATGTTACTTAAGAGCAGGAGTGAGGTGAGAAAAGGGATTGTGACTAGTGTTTTAGTGTTTTCTTGGTATGGGATGAAGTATAATTCTTTTTTTTTTTTCTCAACAAAGCAGTAAAACTAGAAAGAAGGAGAACTCTTCTTTGAAAAATGACTGTACCTTCATATCTAGAGACATATTAAAAAAAAAAGAATGTCTGTATCTTGAAAATGTAGGCTCATTTCACTATGTTCATTTTTAAGGTTGTTGTATGGCTCAGTCAGAACTTTCTGTTACCAGAAGACACTCACTTTCAGAATGCTCCATTTCAAGTGTGTTTCACATCTTTACGGAACGGTGGCCATCTGTATATAAAAATAAAGCTTAGTGGAGAGGTAATGTTTAATATCATGGGGCATAGATTTTTTCTTTTTAAATTTATTTTCATTTATTTATTCAACCACTTAGATCATGGAATGGGAGGGGAGATTTCTTATGTAGTGCTTACCATTCAGTCCAAAGCTAGGTGGTGGATATCAGTGTCAAGGTCGTAAAACCACGTGTTTTGTTTTATTTTTTTCACATGTTTTAACTTAGTCTGTTACTGTTACCATCTTAGACACTGGAGTAGAATCTGGAATAGATGTTTTCTGCCTCCTTCCCTTCCTCTTCCTTGTCTAATTGGGAAAGGATTGGGAATGCAGAGGTCAACAAAAACATTTTCATTGTCATTTAATTTCTAAGGCTAGAGGATTTGCCTTTTAGCTAGCTGCTGGAAATAATGCGGTTTGTAATTTCTTTGAGAGCTAAACTTAACCTTATTCAACACTGCATATAAATATATGCTCAGTAATTTTGTTGGGTGTAGGGAAATTCAGGTACTATTTCAGCTAAGTTTGTCTAATATCTGAGGATGCTAAACTTGTTTATTTTTTCTCTGGGTAGATCACTATAAATACTGATGATATTGATTTGGCTGGCGATATCATCCAGTCAATGGCATCATTTTTTGCTATTGAAGACCTTCAAGTAGAAGCGGATTTTCCTGTCTACTTTGAGGAATTAAGAAAGGTGCTAGTTAAGGTGAGGGTACGCAGTAGATGCATTTGTGAGAATGTGGTAGTCTAATAATGTTTGAGGAGATTAATGATACTGCTATTGAACTTATGTTATAGTGATGTTTTCAAGAATTTTTGCAATTCTTGAAATAAAAATTGAACTAGTATTGGAAAGTTTACTACTGAAAGGATTTCTTTTATAAAAGGAAGTGTTTAGCTCTTGAGAACCTGCTTACTTTGGTTTAAGGTGATACATTTATAAATGAATATTTTCCTTTGTTAGCTCTTCATCTTATTTGTAGTATCTGTTTTGGTCTTCAGTTTAGGTCTTTCCAAAAACCCAAATGCAAAATAAAAGAGCAACATGAAGAGGATTGTGATTGGCCCAAAAGTATACAATATTCCCACTGCAAATCCCTAAATTATTACTATGTGTGTTGTGGGGGCTCCTGGTGCTAAAGCATGGAGTGTCCTGTTGAAATTGGAGGCAGCACAGATGAATTAACTTGTTGAGAAAGATGAAATAACAGAAGGTAGCTTAATTGGCATAAGAGAACAGGGGAAAGAAGGGAGTCTCTGTATCTGGTAAATAGTGTCTTTTCATCTATCTGGTTTCAAGAAATTTGTGAGGCCTTTTTAATTCCTGAGTGTCCATGGTCTCCAGGTGGATGAACATCATTCAGTGCATCAGAAGCTCAGTGCTGACATGGCTGATCATTCTAATCTGATCCGAAGTTTGCTGGTCAGAGCTGAGGATGCTCGTCTGATGAGGGACATGTGAGTATTTACCATGGTTAGTACAGGTGCAAGGTTAAAAATGTGAGCAGTATGGAATAGCACCTCTCAGATGTTACCAGTAGAAGTGTAATTTGTTATAGTGACTTTGGAAAATAAGTTGGCATTATCAGTAAAGTTGAAAATGTGTGTCCTGTATGAGCCAGCAATTCTATTCCTGGTTTGTAGCTTAGAGAAAGTTATAGCTTAGTTATATGTATGCATATAAACTAGGATATTTGTAAAAGAATGTTTGTAAAGGCATTGTTTATGAAAATCTCAAAGTGGAAACAATCCAAATTAGCATTAACAGTATAGTGATAGTGGATGAATTGTGATATATTCATACAGTGGAATACTACACAGCAGTGAGAGTGCATGAATCTCTAATGACACATAAGAGCAAGAGCAAATCTGATAAGCATAATGGACACTAAAAGAAGACAGACTTAAAAGACTATGTATAAAATGCATCCATGTGTATACTTAGAGAAAAAAGTAAACTATATAGTTTGGGAAACATGCAATAAGTACAAATTAAACAAATTCAGGGAAGAGATTATCATATAAGATAGTATTTTCTCCTAGAGAAGAAGGGACTATGTGCAGAAAAAATACATTGGGAAACTTGTGTCTTGATGTTTTGTTTGACTTCATTAAGTATTCTTTGAATTTTTCTGAATATGTAACATTTTACAATAAAAAAGTTAAGTATGTGCAGGTCTTCCTTGGTGCTTGCTAGGATGCCAAATTTACCTTGCCAATAAAATGTACTGAAAACATTCATTCAGTAAAATAGTTAACAAGTGATAGATGAAATTTATATGTATATATTAGGGGCAAGAGTTTACCCAGAGTGCTGCTTGTGTTTTTTCCTGAGCGGCCTGAATTGTTGGCAAATAATGATAATTGTTTTGCTCAGAAGTAAATGGTTTTTAAAATAATTGTATTGTTGAAAATTTCAAACACATACAAAAGTAGTTGAATATAATGATTTCATATATACCAGCCACCCAACTGGGATGTTCAAGAAACATGGCACTGGTGTCTGCTTGACTTCTGTTGAGGGCCATGCACGACATCAAAACATGGCAGAAAAGGTCAAAGGAGAAGGGGACATGTGCAGAGAGACAAAGCCTGAGGGGTGGCCTCGCTGTATAACAACTTGCTCTTTTGAGAACTAGTTCATTCCTGCATGAGAAAGAACTCAGGCCTGAGAGATGGCATTAATCTATTAATGAGGGATTTGCCCCCATGATCCAAACACCCTCTACTAGGCCTACCTCCCAAACCTGCTGCACTGGCATTTAAACTTCATCAGTTTTGGCGGGGACAAACCACATCCAAACCATAGTGGGTATATTAATCTCTCATGTGTGATGCAAGTTACAAATACGTTTTTCTCAATTAGTCATCTGGATTTTCCCTTTGCTTAGATTTTTTAAAAATTTTGCTTTAATGTTGGTTTTGCCTTGTAAAAGCTTTTAAAAATTTGTATGTAGGAAAACTGATCACTCATTTTCTTAATGCTTTTTAATTTATTTATATATTTTTTGAGACAGAGTCTTGCTCTGTTGCCCAACCTGGAGTACAGTGGCACAATCTCAGCTCACTGCAACCTCCACCTCCCAGGTTCAAGCGATTCTCCTGCCTCAGTCTCCTGAGTAGCTGGGACTACAGGTGCATGTCACCACGCCTGGCTAATTTTTATATTCTTAGTAGAGGTGGGGTTTCACCTTGTTGGCCAGGCTGGTCGCAAATTACTGACTTCAGGTGGCCTGCCCGCCTCGGCCTACCAAAGTGGTGGGATTACAGGTGTGAGCCACCGCGCCCAGCCACATTTTCTTAATATTTTTGCATTTTGAGTTACAGTTAGAAAAGTTTTCTTTACCCCCAGGGTATAGAGTAAATTTACCTGTTTTCCTTTAGTACTTGTACATTTTCGTTTTTTACATTAAGTCTGTATTCTAGTTGGAGTTTATCCTGGTGTTCATATAAGTAATAAACTCAATATTATCATTTTCTATATGACTATCACATTATTATTATTATTTGTGTGTGTGTGTGTGTGTGCGTGTGTGTGTGTGTGAGTCAGAGAGAGAGAGAGAGAGAGAGAGAGAGAGAGAGTCTCACTGTGTCACCCAGGCTGGAGTGCAGAGGGAAGATCACAGCTCACAGCAGCCTTGATCTCCTGGCTCAGGTGATCCTCCCACCTCTTTCCCTGGAGTAGCTGGGACAACAGGCATGTGCCAACATACCCAGCTAATTTTTGTGTTTTTCTGTAGAGCCAGAGTCTTGCTATGTTGCCCAGACAGATCTTGAACTCCTGGGCTCAAGTGATCTGGCTGCCTTGGCCTCTCAAAGTGCTGGGATTACAGGCGTGAGCCACTACACCTGGCCACGTTGCATTATTTTAATACTACTTTTAAAGTTCATCATGCTCACAATGATTTCAGATACTGCCTTTATTATATATCATATTTCTGTACATAGTTGAAAGTATTTCTGGATTTTCTGTACTATTCCATTGATCTGTCTTGTCTCTTCATTTGACAATAGCATTCTTTTTTTAAAAATAAAATTATTTTGAGACAGGATCTTGCTCTGTTGCCCAGGCTGGAGTGCAGTGGTGTCATCACAGCTCACTGCAGCCTCGGCCTCCTAGGTACAAAGGATCTTCCTACCTCAGCCTCCGGAGTAGCTGGGACTACAGGCATGCACCACTACATCCAGCTAATTTTTTTTTATTTTTGGTAGAGACAGGTTCCCACTCTATTGCCCAGGCTGGTCTTGAACTCCTGGGCTCAAGCTGTCTTCCTGCCTCAGCCATTCTTTTTTATTTAAAAATTTTTTGGCTGGGTGCAGTAGCTTATGCCTATAATCCCAGTGCTTTGGGAGGTCAAGGCAGGAGAATGGCTTGAGGCCAGGAGCTCAAGACTAGCCTGGACAACATAGCAAGACCCCATCTCTAAAAAAGAAAATAGAAATTTCATTGTGATATGTGATATTGTAAAATATATAGTTGATCTTCAACACTGTTTACTGACATAATAACCCCTAAAATCCTTAGAATCTCCAAAGTGATGTCTTTTTGTATGCTAATGATTGACTTACAGCTGGCAGCTCCTAGGTAGCTTCAGGATAGGGGTCAGTCACCAGAATATCCAAGGCAGGATTACAGGATTGGGACTTTCTGCCCACCTCTCTCCCAACCTCTAGGGAGCGGAGAGGGACTGAGAATTAAGTTGAACACTATGGCCAGTGGTTTAGTCAGTCATGCCTAAATAATGGAGATTCCATATAAACACAAAGGGACAGCATTCAGAGAGTTTCTGGACACTAGAACAGATGGAGGTTCCTGAAGGTTGATGCACCTAGGGAAGGCATAGAAGCTCCAAGTGCCTTCCCTAATACTTCACTCTTTGGATCTCTTCATCTGTATCCTTTGTAATATCCTTTATAATAAACTAGTAAGTGCCATTAAGTTTCCCTGAGTTCTGTGAACTGATCTAGCAAATTAATCAAACCCAGATAGGGGATCGTGGGAACCCCAACTTGAAGTAGGTCAGTCTGAAGTTCTGGCAGCCTGAACTTGTGACCTTTGTCTGAAGTCAGAGCAGTCTTGTGGGACTGAACCCTCAATCTGACACTATTCACCTGGAGACAGACAGTGTCTTCAGGTGAATAGTGTCAGAACAGAATTGGAGGACACCCAGCTGGTGTCTGCTACAGAATTGATTGTTTTTTTGGTGTGTGGGGAAAAGCCTCCACAGTTGGTCACAGAAGTCTTCTGTGTTGATTGTTGCATTGCTGGAGCAGAGAAGGAACAGTTTTTTTTTTTTTCCACTCATGGTAAAATACACATAATGTGAAATTTACCATCTTAACTACTACACACTACTTTTAGTGTACAGTTCAGTGGTATTAAATACATTCATAATGTGTACCATGCCGGGCATGGTGGCTCACACCTGTAATCCCAGCTCTTTGGGAGGCCGAGGCGGGAAGTCAGGAGTTCAAGACCAGCCTGGCCAACATGGTGAAACCCCGTCTCCACTAAAAATGCAAAAATTATCTGGGTGTGGTGGTACATGCCTGTAATCCCAGCTACTAGGGAGGCTGAGGCAGGAGAATTGCTTGAACCCGGGAGGCGGTGGTTTCAGTGAGCCAAGATCGCACCACTGCACTCTAGCCTGGATGACCGTTAGACCCTGTCTCAAAAAAAAAAAAAAAAAGTGTGTTACCACCACCAGCATCTCCATAATTCTTTATCTCTTAAACCTGAAACTCTGTACTCATTAAACAGTAACTACCCATTCTTCCTTACCTTTACCCTGGCAGTTTACCATTGATAGTGCCATTCTTTCATTTATGGATGTTTTGTATGTTTCAATATCTGGTGTGGGTAGGTGCCCCTGTCCCCAACCCCTGTTGCTTTTCTTTCTTTTTTTTTTTTTTTTTTACAAAATGGCTATGTTTATTCAACATCCTGGATATTCATCCAGATATGGGGTTTGTTTTGTGGTAAAATATTCACCTTAACTGGCACTACTGCAAAGAAAGCTTTGGTGACCTGCATGGCTTGCCTCAGAGCCTCTCCATCAGTTAGAACCACCACAGCCTAGACTAGACCAAACTGCTCTGGAGGAAAGAAAAAAAATAACAGCCAACAGAAAAGAGCTGGGCCCCCAAAAGTACTCAGAAGTCACGCTACTTACAGAAAATAACAGCTGGGTTTGTGTGGGACTGGGAAGCAGGGCGTATGAGCCAGAGCATTTGCAATGAAGATGCAACAGTCCTCGCCCTTTCCCACTGCCTCCTCTTTCTTCACTCCATGCATGGCAGCTTTCACGACCTTCCCAAAGGGTCTACCGAGTCCTGACTCAGCTTCATCACCAACATGCCTCGCCTTCGGTTCAATTCAACATTGTTAGCCAGGGGAGCAGAGGCAAAGACTTGGGTGGGGAAGAGGGTGGGAAACATGCAAGAAACTCTTGGCACAACCGAAGTTCAGAGACGAGGCCTCCTCAGATGAGGAAGACGATGCCCTCAGACACCATGACCTGATTGTCATCCTGCATCTTGCTCAGAGCAGCCTGGATCTCAACTGAAGAGAAGGGCTCTTTGCTGTCGCGGTTGATGGATTCTGTGAGGCGATTCACGCCGACTGACTGCGCATGAGCTTCCCGGAACACATCCAAGAGAGCCACCTTGAATGCCTTCAACCTGGTTTCACTCAACTCCACTTTCTGGGATTCCTTGGTCTCCTGCGAGTCGGCCGTCTTTGGAGTGTGTACTTGAGGCATCTCCTCCTCTGTGTCACTGAAGTCATAGGGGTCATATGAATCCCCATCTTTGGCATCTGGCTGGCTAGTCTTCCTTCTCTTCCTCTTCTGCTCTCGGTCCTCTTGGCTTTTCCCCTCTTCATCTTCTGTCTCTGATTCATCCTCACTTCGCTTCTTACGTTTCTTCTCTTTCTCCAGAACCTTCTTGAAGTAAGCATACTGGACCAACTCCACAGCTTCCTCTGCATCCTGCAGGTCCACAGTCTTGCTCATGCGGGCCTTTGCATGGGCTGTGGCAAGTCGAATCAGAGTTTCCAGTGTTCGGGCTGTAACTGGAGATGTCCTGGTGGTGTCCGAGCTCATGCTATCCTGGCTGCGCAGGCGTGAATACTCTTCTGCAATGTAGGCAGCTGACTCCTGTGTCAGGACAGGCTTGATGATTTTGGCCATATGGATGTACTTCTTCATGAATGCTGCATTCACCATCTTCTCCTTTTTCTTCTTGGTCCCATGCAGAAGGTTATCATGCTTCTCATAAATCTGGGTGTCCTGCTGATCATCCTGGCTAAAGTTGGGATCATCTGTGGCCAGGATATCCACAGCACTACCCAAGGGCATAGCATCGCCATCCTGCTCCCCAGGTGCTCTGTAATGGTGCATCCGAAGGACATGGTCCGATATCTCCCGATCCTGCTCAGGATCCATCTGATCCAGCATAATGAAGAGCAAGTCAAATCGAGACAGCAGTGAGTCCTGTAGTCCAATGTTCTCCATTGGAGTCTTATACTGGTCATACCTGCCGTAGACAGGGTTGGCAGCTGCCAAAACACTGCAGCGGGCATTCAGCCAAGCATGGATGCCAGCCTTGGCGATGGTCACTCGACCCTGCTCCATCACTTCATGGATGGCTGTGCGATCCATGTCAGACATTTTGTCAAATTCATCAATGCAAACCACGCCTCGGTCAGCCAGGACCATGGCCCCCCGCTTCTAGACGGCACTCCCCTGTTTCCTGGTCTGTGGTGACAGCAGCTGTCAGACCCACTCCAGAGGAGCCCCGGCCAGTGGTGGGGATAGCCCGGGGTGCAGTGCAAAGCACGTACCGCAGAAGCTGAGACTTGGCAACCGATGGGTCTCCTATTAGAAGAATATTGATGTCCCCACGGATGTGGCTGCCATTTTCTAGGTCTCGTTCCACGCCTTCCAAGAGCAAGCAGAGGATTGCTTTCTTGACATAGTCATGCCCATGGATACTAGGGGCCAATGACCTGGCCAGCTGGTCAAAGATATCCTTGGATCGGGTTTTACTGAACTTCTTGATCTTGGCTATATCCTCAGCAGAGAAAGAAGGCTGAGCGTCCTTGCTCATCTGCTCCACATTACAGGCAATCAGGACAGTCCTGAAGGTCCCAGAGGTATAGCCTCCCTTCTTTCCAGGAAGGCAACGGTAGGTTCCCACCACCTGAACTCGGTCACCAGGCTTCACTTTATCCACCAAGTCATCATCCAGAATGATATCCACAGAGCGGGGGAGCTGGCCGGCTGGGGCCTTCTCCGGCATCTCCTGGATGGTGATGGTCTGGTGATCCTTGTAAACAGACAGGCCATATTCTGTCTCAAGGGGATTGTTCTCCTCATCCTTGGTGGGATAGACAGAGCTGGAGGGAAAGGCCTCCAGGGTGGTGAGATCAGAGTAACGTCGTTCTATGGTCTTCTTAGTAGCAGGACAGTAGTGGACACTGCGGACGACTTTGGGACGAACTAGAGAACATTTAGTGACGATGCCCTCCACACAGACCACACAGCTGAGGAAACAAGAGGTAAGAGTCCGCGGGGAGACGTGCTTGGAGCCAAAGCTGCCCTCCAATCCTATGTAGAACTCCTCATACTGCTTCGCATAGGTAGCATCAATGGAAGCCACAAAATCCTTTAAGGCCCGCTGGAAGGCAACCAGCTCCTCAAAGGCATTGTTCAGGAGCCAGTTAGCCCTCTTCTCGTTTTTCCTGCGCAGGTCATTCACATTCACAATCAGCCGGTATTGGTTGTCACTGATCAGCTCCCGAACTTTGCTCTGATAAATTCCCTGGTCTTCCTCATCATCCAGGAAGTCCAGGTAATCTCTCTGGGCCTCCCGCAGCTCCACATCGTCCAGCACCACGGTACCTGCCATGCCCGCCGCCGAAGAACTAACTCTACCAAAGCAGCGCGGAGGTTCCAAGGATCACTCCACCCCCGTGGGAAACTTACCGCTTTTCTTTTTCATGGTTTTTCCTAGCTACTTGTGCTTGGTTATTCTTTCCAATGAATTTCATCATGAATTGTTATAGCTCTGTAACAAAAATCGACATTTTAATTGAGATGATGTGAAATGTATTAGGCAGAACTGACCCCACTGCAGTGATGTTCACTCTTGATATCTAAGAACATGGCATGTCTTTATATTGGTTCAAGTCATGTTCTGTGTGTTTCTGGAGTGCGTTAATGGGTTCCTCTTATAGATACTGGATGTTTTTTAGTTTATGCTTTGGCATTTTCTGTATTTTTAGACAATTACAATATATTTATAAGCGTAAATTTCTTTTACATTATATCTTATTCTATAATTACGGTTTTGTGTTTGTATATATGAATGGTGATTTTTATCTGTTGATTTGATAACGTGTCCTTTACTAATTAGCTTATAATTTTTCTAGATGTATTCTTGTATCATCTGTAAATTGAGATAGATATTTGCTCTTTTTGGCCAACTATCTCTAGGCCCCCTAGTTTTTCCGTCTCTCTCTCTTAAGTCAAAAAGGGTTACTGGCTTTAGGCATTTGACTGCAAAATGTCAATATTTATTTTTATTTTTTAAATCAAATTAATTGATATATAACTCATATATGCAGAAAATTTACCCTTTTTAGGTTTACAGTTTAATCAATTTTGAGAAACTTATGTAATCATGTTGCTGCGACCACAATTGAGATTTAGAATATTTCTATCACTGGCCGGGCCCATGCTTGTAATCCCAGCACTTTGGGAGGCCAAGGTGGGCAGATCACTTGAAGCCACAAGTTTGAAACCAACCTGGCCAACATGGTGAAACCCCGTCTCTACTAAAAATACAAAAAATTACCGAGGTGTGGTGGCAGGTGCCTGTAATCCCAGCTATTCAGGAGGCTGAGGCAGGAGAATCATTTGAACCCAGGTGGTGGAGGTTGCAGTGAGCCGAGATCGTACCAGTGCACTCCAGCCTGGGCAACAAGAGTGAAACTTTGTCTCAATAAAAAGAATATTTCTGTCACTCTTGTGGCTGTTGTATCAGTACACTCTTGTATTAGTACCTCTCCTAACCTCCAGTTCCTGACAACCACTCATCTTAGTTCTTTTCCTGTAGTTTTTTTAAATTTATTTTATTTTACTTTTTAATTTTTTTAGAGACGGGGTTTCAACATGATCTCGATCTCTTGGCGTCATGATCCGCCCACCTCGGCCTCCCAAAGTGCTGGGATTACAACCTTTTTCAAAATACCATATAAATAGAATCATACTATATCTATATATCCTTTTGAGTCTGGCTTCATTCACTTATGTAATGTCTTTGAGATTCATCCACATTGTTGCATGTATGTGTAGTTTCTTTTTTATTGCTGAGTAGTACTCCATTGTATGGAGATATACGATATTTATCTATTCACCAGTTGAGAATAATTGGGTTGTTTCCAGACTTTGGTGAGTAGAATAAAGCTGCTATAAATACTTGCATACAAGTTTTTTGCAGATATATGTTTTCATTTCTCTTGGGTTTTACCTTACAATGGGATTGCTGGGTTATTCAGGGTGTGTTAACTTTGTATGAAACTGCTAAATCACTTGTCAAAGTAGATGCAGCATTTTGCATTTCTGTCCTCAATGCATGAGAATTCTAGTTACCCCAAGTCTTTGCTAGCATTTGGTATCTTCAGCTCTATTTTTCTTTAGTCATTTTCATTCTTGTGTAGTATAGATCTCATTTTCATTTTAATTTTATGACTCTTTTTTAAACTCTGATAAAATACAAGGCTGGGTTGTCTAAAAATACTTTAAGACCAGGCCACTTTAGTTTAATGACTATTGATCTGAAACTTGGAAGGTGGGCTGTCACCTTGCTCACTTGTTCCTACTCCCAGCACAGTGGGCTTGAGCATTCTTAACCACCCAAATCAGAACCAACTATTGACCAGTAACCAAGGAATTCCACTTGTCTTTTGTTTATTTGGAAGGAATAGAATATTTTTATGGAACTTATCTGTGTTTTCAAAGCAAACTAGCAGTTACTCCGTTTTAATGAAAATATAGCTTAAAAAATGGTGGCTTCTTTATATGTCTAAGAAGTTTACAAGTTTTTCTTAAGCTTGCCACATCAAGATGAAATGATGTCAAATTTCTATTGATTTGCACAGGAAAACAATGAAGAGTCGTTATATGGAACTCTATGACCTTAATAGAGACTTGCTAAATGGTTATAAAATTCGCTGTAACAATCACACAGAACTGTTGGGAAACCTCAAAGCAGTAAATCAAGCAATTCAAAGAGCAGGTCGTCTGCGGGGTAAGTCTCTTTTCATAACACTGCACTTTTATCTTTAATGTTTTTGGTGGAACTCATTGAAGATAGTGGTAGCATTCAATAATTCATATTGGGGCTGAAAGTAGCATACCTTTCACACTCCAGAGCTGGCACCAGTCGCTTGTGTTTCAGTCAGCCTGGTGTTTGGCGTTAGTCTTTAGACTTCAAAGGAAAAGAAAACCTGCAGCTCCTTTTCCTACATCTTCCTGCATCCTCTAAAGAAAAACCTACTATATATACCACAAAGGAAATAAACATAAATATGTTTGTCTAAGAAGTTTGCAATTATATATAAATATATATTTATGTTTATGTATTTCCTTTGGGGTATATATAGTAGGTATATATACTATATAGGTATATGTAATTCATATTTATGGTTATATATATAACCATCAAGGCCCAATTAGCAAAAAAGAGACTTAATTAATGTTAAGTGTCTAACTTAAAAATTTAGAAAAAGAACAATAGGATAAACCCAAGGATGCAGAAATATAGCCAGAGATTTATAGCCTGAATTCTGCTGTTTTAGGTCAATGCTTTGACCTCTTTAGAAATAATCTTTGCTAGGTGAATATGAGCTTTGATCCTTTTCTGTAAAACTGACTTTTGGTGTCTAGGTTTGAATTGGTCTCTAAGTCAGTTTTTTAAATAAATTTCTTCACCAAGTTATCTTTTTTAGGGAGTGGTAAGATAACTTATATTTCACATAGAACCCTTTTCTCTCCTGGTTTTATGTTGTTTCAAAACTGGCCTCTAATTTTATAGTTTCATGTCTAATAATCTTTCGCTTTCTGATATTTCTTCTCATGCAGTTGGAAAACCAAAGAACCAGGTGATCACTGCTTGTCGGGATGCAATTCGAAGCAATAACATCAACACACTGTTCAGAATCATGCGAGGGGGGACAGCTTCTTCACAGGAGAGGAAAATGTAGGTCATGAAGTTCCTGGAAAAGGTTTTTGTTAAAAATCTATGCTGGTTTACTTTGGATCACCCCCTTGTGAACCCAGGGTGCTAAGGATGAAAATAACCTTGGTGAGTTGTGCAAGTTAAAGACAAAGAACTACATTTGAAGATATATTTGCTTGCTAGTTTTAAGTCAGTAGTACTGTTGCTGAATGATACTGGGTTTCTATGGAATCGGATGAATGCTTTTGAAGTATTAGGGCTTCAAAGTCCAATTTTTGCTTATTTATGGTATATTAATACATCTTTTTTCTTGAAATTGTAATTGAATTTATACTTTTTAAATAATCTACTTCTTCATTAAAATGTAAAGATGTTAAACTGTGTTGATTGATTATAAAATCACTATCAAATCAGAATTGCCCATTTGTATTTTGTAGAGGAAAACAAATGTCGGCCGGGTGCAGTGGCTCCCGCCTGTGATCCCAGCACTCTGGGAGGCTGAGGGAGGCAGATCGCGAGGTGAGGAGATTAAGACCATCCAGGCTAACATGGTGCAACCTCATCTCTACTAAAAATACAAAAAATTAGCTGGGCATGGTGGCATGCACCTGTAGTCTTAACTACTCAGGAGGCTGAGCCAGGAGAATCGCTTGAGCCCAGGAGGTGGAGGTTGCAGTGAGCTGAGATCGTGCCATTGCACTCCAGGCTGGGTGACAGAGTGAGACTCTGTCTCAAAAAAAAAAAAAAGTGGATATTTGGGCCAGGTCAGTGGCTCACACCTGTAATCCCAGCACTTGGGAGGCTGAGGTGGGTGGATCACCTGATGTAAGGAGTTTGAGACCAGTCTGGACAACCTGGTGAAACCCCATTTAACTAAAAATACAAAAAATTAGCCAGGCGTGGTGGCAGACACCTGTAATTCCAGCTACTCATGAGGCGGAGATTGCAGTGAGCCAAGATCACACCACTATACTCCAGCCTGGGCAACAAGAGCGAAACTCCATCTTAAAAAAAAATGTGGATATTTTGATTTGTGTGCTTCTTTTTATTCACCAAAAGGTGGGTACAAAGAACAAATTTACATTAAGGAAGAGTCAATTTAGAGTGATCACTTTGTTGGGGTAATATTAGCTGCTGTAACAAATAGACCTCAAAACCATAATGACACATTTTTCATTTATTATGTAAGGATTTCTCCATAGTTATGCAAGGACCCAGGTTTCTTTAGTCATGTAGCTCTGTCATCCTGTAGGACAAACTTTTCTTCCTGAGTTCACTAAAGGAATAAGCCTAAGGAAAATGGTTTGGGTGACTGTTTTCACATTCAGTACATACAGTGGAGGAGGCCTTAGAGTAGTGGAGCTTTATTATCTCACTTGGAACCCTACTTGACAAGGGCTGTCCTAGGGCCTTGTGGTTATTTATAGCTATATGCCAGATAACGAAGTTTAAGCACCATAAGATTATAATACTGTATTTTTACTGTACCTTTGTGTTTAGATGGGTTGAACTACACAAATACTTAGCATTATGTTACAGTTGCCTACAGTATTCAGTACAGTTCCATGCTGCACAGATTTGTAGCCTAGGAACAACAGGCTATACCGTATAGCCCAGGTGTGTGGAGCAGGCTATACCATGTAGGTGTGTATACGTGCGCTGTACAGTATTCACATGATGACAAAATAGCCTAACAATGCATTTCTCAGACTGTATCCCTGTTGTTAAGCAGAGCATGACCATATAACTAAGCCCCTGTAGAAGAGAGTAAGAAGGAAACATGCCTCCTTCTTTTAAAAGTGTGGTGTGGGCCGGGCGCGGTGGCTCACGCCTATAATCCCAGCACTTTGGGAGGCCGAGGCGGGTGGATCACGAGGTCAAGAGATCGAGACCATCCTGGTCAACAAGGTGAAACCCCGTCTCTACTAAAAATACAAAAATTAGCTGGGCATGGTGGTAGGCACCTGTAGTCCCAGCTACTCAGGAGGCTAAGGCAGGAGAATTGCTTGAACCCAGAAGGCGGAGGTTGCAGTGAGCCAAGATCGCGCCATTGCACTCCAGTCTGGGTAACAACAGCGAAACTCCCATCTCAAAAAAAAAAAAAAAAAAAGTGTGGTGTGAAAGAAGTAGCACACAATCATTTCCACTCACAATTCCATTGGGTTACATGACCACATCTGCAAGGGAGGCCGGGAGATGGAATCTAACTGTGTGCCTGTGAGAACACTGGTATTTGTGCCAACAGGTAGCAGTCTCTTCCCTAGGAAAAATGTCACCCTAAGGTAGATTTCAGGATTGGTTTAATGAGTGAAACTTCAGTAGTTTTAATATCTTAATAGCATTCATAAGCAGTGTAGGGGAAGTGGAGCATTTCCCTGAGGTTGGTATACATTAATTTTACTGGTTTCAGCATGGCCACTTAGGATCTCCCCTCCTATATCTGAAATGTAAGCCTTATGGAATCCTAATTATGAGAATATGCTAATACTTTTCCATTTCCAACCTATAAATTCAAGAGATAATCCACAAATACTGTGTTATTTCCAGTAACCTCCAAAGTGGTAAAGTATCATCATAAATCTCTCACACAGAGGTTGCAGTGAGCTGAGATCGTGCCACTGCACTCCAGCCTGGGTGACAGAGGGAGGCTCCATCTCCAAAACAAACATACTTACATACATACATAAATCTGCCTCACAGAGGAAGAAACTGAAGCATAGATAACCTCCTTGTCAGATCACAGAGTTAGTGACCTGTGACCTGTCTAGTCACTCAAGACGAAACTTGAGTCTTACTGTTGAGTCTTTTTTTGTTTTAACCATAGTCTGATTTATACCTTTGAGATTAAAATCTCTAGTTGGTGCTAGTTTTAAATTATATAATGCCTTTCATTTTTAGGGAGCCTAATAATCTCATCAAAGGTCACTCTATTGTTCTCTAGCCAAAAGACTTCCTTCTTAGACCTAAAAATACTCATGGCAAGGTTAGAAGTAGTCGACCTGCAGCAAGACGTCTTTAAGTTGTTCTTATTTATAGGTTGTTTTCACAGTAATTTTATCCTGTTGATGTTGCTATCTATTTTACAGATGAGGCTCTGAGCTCTAAGGGTGTCCTGTACAGGGTCCCACAGCTGGGTAAGCCCTGGTGTGAAGGAGGTGTTGGAACCAAGTAGTCACGGCCTCTTCTACTCCAAACTTCCCAAGCAAGTAGACTGGTTAAAGTGAAAACATTCATAAAAGGTGCAACCACCTTTTTTCCGCCACTTAGAAGTCATCAGGTTCAGCTTAGGAGTGAAAAAAACTGCACAAGGAGAAATGAGTTTATCAGTAACTTCTCTGTTTTGTTGCCATGTTTCTATCCTGATAGAATCTGAGTGCTTCTAGAAGCTACAGCGAAGCTGTATTTCACTGCCGAATTATATTGAAGCTTTAAGTGAACACTGAGCTGTCATTTAAAAGCTGACTTTGAGGATTTTGGTATCTGAGAGAAAGCTTTCAGTATCCTAATTCAGGTTCTGAGGATTTTTAAGAGTATAATTTTTATTATTTCCCACCATGACCACCTATCCAGTACCTCAAGGCTCCACACACATGCTGTCTCCTTAGGTGACCTTTTCCTCTTCCAGGCCTACTCCTTAACCTTATTAAATTCTTTATCTAAATCTTAATCCCCTGTTAAGCAAGAATGGGGTCTGCATCTTAACCAGCTTCATCCTCGCCCCATGCTGAGCTAGTGCCTTGAGCATAGAATAGCATCTGCTTCTCTGCTTAGGATCGTCTGTCCTCAATATGCCTGTCAGTGGCTTCAGAAATCAAAGAACTAGGAACTTTACAGCTATTAGGCAACTCTCGAAGTGTTTTACAAGAATGATTTTCAACATTGTTGTTAATGTTTCAAATTTTGTAATTAGCAGTTACAGATCTGCCAATGCACAGTCCTGTTACTATAGAACTAAATTACCTCCAGTGTCACTTGGAAGCTCAAGTACAGTAAGACACCCATTACAGCCTGGTGTTTCACATTTTGCCTTTTTTCCATCTGGCCCCTGCCCACACTCTATGCTCTAGCCTGAGAGTCATCTTTTAATCTGTATAGTACAGAATCTGCTTTTCCTAAAAGTGATGTCACATAGACAGTTCCCAAGTCATTTTTAAATTGTCTTTGTGGACTGATTTTGCATCAGAGACAAGATCCTCAGGACACCCAGTTCCACACAGACTGGAGAGGCCTCTGGCATCACTTCACTAGATCTTTTCTACCAAGGACCTTTTTAACAGCATTTGCCCTTCTTCATTGATTTAGTAGTGGTGAGTATGTCATGGTGTTGAAGAGATAATGTACCCCCAAACTTCTTAAAAAATACTGCCAGAACTTTGGGAGACCAAGGTGGGTAGGTCACGAGTTTGACCAGCCTGGCCAACATGGCGAAACCCCATCTATACTGAAAATACAAAAATTACCCGGTATGGTGGTTAAGTGCCTGTAATCCCAGAATTGCTTGAACCTGGGAGGCAGAGGTTGCAGTGAGTTGAGATTATGCCACTGTACTCCAGCCTGGGCGTCAGAGGGAGACTCCAATCTAAAAAAAAAATCCTGGTCTAGGAGAGGTAGCCCAAGCTTTGATTTTTTTTTTTTTTTTTTTTTGGTGTTCTGTGGGGAAGAAACCCACATTAAGTGGAATTTGAGAAGCAATCTTTAAACAGTAGACAAGTCAGGTTCAAAACTAAGATTTTTTTTCTCTTGGAAACTTCATTTTCCACATCCTTAAAATTAAGGACTGATGTTATTTATAGGATACTTCTTACACACTATTTTTCTTCCTATTCAAAGATGCAAATATGTTCACAAGTTTTGTTAAAATGTTCCTAATTTCCAATGGTTAACATACAAAGAGGAAGTAGTGAAGCAGTCTTTGTAAGGCTGTTCTCTGTCTGATGCTGGAGCTTAAAGCCCATGGGGCGGGTAGTCAGAAAACATGTAGTTGGGGAGAACAAGCTGTAACCCACAGCATCGGCTGGAGCCTGAGGACGCTAAAATCTGCCTGTTCCTGTTGCTTTTGACCTTGATGGTGTGGGCATCCTGCTGAAACTGAGTCCCCTTGCAGAGGAACTACAGGAAGATCCAGGGGAAGGTGGAGCGGTTGCAGGCACAGGCACAGATGGGATTCACACCAGCAAGGTGTGCCAGCCACTCAAGGGCTGCTGCTGCATTTGGGCTCTGCAGATCTGGCACAGGAATTTGTGGCTCATCTTAACCTGAGACATAGGGAAGAGAGTTCTGGGAAATGTAGTTCAGTGAGTCTAGCCAAGTTGATACATGACAAAGCCACCAGTGGTTGTCACAGGATGGTGGGATTTCAGGTGATCTTTACATTTTTACATGTTATTACCTCACAATGAGCATGTCTTATTTATATAATCTGAAAAAACAGAAAGCTTTTTTTTTTTTTGAGACAGAGTCTTGCTCTGTCACCCAGGCTGGAGTACAGTGGCGTGATCTCAGCTCACTGCAACCTCCATCTCCCAGGTTTGAGTGGTTCTCCTGCCTTACCCTCCCAAGTACCTGGGATTACAGGCACACCCGACCACACCCAGCTAATTTTTGTATTTTTAGTAGAGATAGGGTTTCAGCATGTTGGCCAGGCTGGTCTCCACCTCCTGACCTCAGGTAATCCACCAGCCTTGGGGCCTCCCAAAGTGGTGGGATCACAGGCATGAGCCACCATGCCCGGTCCATAAAGCTATTTTCTTTGGGGAAAAAAATGAGAGTTATAAGAATTAGAGACTATTAAGAATAAAGAGAGAAACCGTATCTTTTACAGGTGAACATCATAGCTTTTATCTGAAAGAGGTATAAAAAAGATGCCCATGTTCTAATTCTTCTTTTGCCACCTAACAGTTGTTGACATTGGCCCAGGCCCTAAAAAGTAATCAAGATGCAGAACAAAGCAGTACACAGAAAATAAGCTGCCCTATCACTGTGTATCTTCAGTGCACAAACACAATCTGTAAGTTACACTATCCTTCACAGTCTAAGAGGTACTGCTGTAGATGATGTAACTGACAGCAACATCAGAGTTGGGCTCATAGGGATTCTCTCCCCTCAGACACCCAAGTCCCTTTTGTAGTGTATAAAAGATTGTTTGTTGACAGTTCATAAACACGTTGAGATAAAAGAGGCACTAATAGTATTAGCATATTTTGAACATTTGTGAGGTATTCTAAGATTTAGACTTGGCTTTCCAGAATTGGAAAATTAGCCTTGGATGGTACCTACAGCCATGAGTCTCAAACTGTTTTCCAAGCTTGGCATACATGACAGTTTCACGTACCCAGCACTTTTCCCTGGGTCTTCCTGGAGTTAGGCCACTGACACCCTTTCCCCCAACTCTTGAAAACACATCAGAAGGCTAGTGAGTGAGATGACCTTCAAACACCTGGAATATAGAAAAGGCAAGCTGTGACATTAACTATTAGTAACAAAGTATTTGCAATCCCACTTGAGTGTTGTTAACGCTGTGGTTAAAAAATTGTGGTCTCCAGCCTGGCCAACATGGTGAAACTCTGTCTCTACTAAAAATATTAAAATATCAGCTGGGGTGGTGGTGGGCACCTGTAATCCCAGCTACTCAGGAGACTGAGGCCGGAGAATTGCTTGAACCCATGAGGCAGAGGTTGCAGTGAGCCGAGATCTTGTCACCGTACTCCAGCCTGGGCCACAGAGTGAGACTGTCTCAAAAAAGAAAAAAACCTGTGGTCTCCAAAATCGTATCGTGTAAAATGGTTTATTACAATATGCAGAGAGGAAGACAATGTAAGAACTAGTTCTGGACATTTCTTTTTCTCTCATTTAAAAATTAGTGTTTTATAACGGTACAATTATAGAACTAATATTACATGCGTAAAGTATATAAATATCCCTATCAAGGGCATACCTGCTAAAACATTTCTTAACTGGCTGGGGTGCATAATTAAACCTTTTTGAAAGTAAACCTAAACGACAAAGCAAAACTCATTTTCACTTAAATGCAAACTTCAGAAAAGAATGAATACCCAAAGTTTTAGGAGATGAAAGAGAAGAATGGTTAAGAAGTTTAAAGGCCCAATGCTTTTTCTATTAATTAGTAAAACCCAGAGTAGAAGCTACTGCAAAAGCTAAAAATAAATGTAGAAAAAGAGGAAACAGGAGACTGTATTGGGATGGAATGAGAACAGTATCTTTCATCCACCCAGGCATACCCACACAGGTAGTTATAACTCCCTGGAACATTTCAAGAAAAAAATTAACAAGACGCACACCCTCTTGGCATTCTGATATGGCTTTTTAGCATTCAGTCTCTTAAAACAAAAAGCAATTAGTTACATAGTTGACCCTACAGTATTTAGAAAACAGAAGCAACATGTGAGGCTAGAATCATTTACTTATATACAGGCCACGACTCCAGGATGGAAAGGCAGTGGGCACTTGGAAGTGACCACACATGGCAATAAGCAGCCTATCTTCTTTACCAACCAGAAGTTTCTTGGGGCATGTGGTTGTAGCCCAGACCCTTTCCAAGGGAGTAATACTACACATCATCTAAGCCTACACTGTCCTGTGAGTGTCATGGTGGAACAAGGCCACAGGCAGTGGGAGAAAATGTGATGACTCACTGTGTCAGAATTCGAAGGCCCAGCATGATCAGGATGTAAGGCTCTGTAATTTTCTAAACCAGCATGATTGAGAAGAACAAAATCTGCTATCACTTATGAGTTTTAAAAAAACCAAAACACTGGAAACAGGAATGAATCTTAAAGACCTTATGTTAAGTGAAATAAAGTCACAAAAGGACAAATACTGTATGGTTCCACTGATATGAGAAATACGAGTAGTCAGGTTGATGACAGAGACAAAAAGTAGAATGGCTGTTGCTAGGGGAAGGCGGGGGTGTGGAGTTATTGTTCAGTGGGCACAGAGTTTGGGAAGATGGAAAAGTTCTGGAAATGGATCATGGCGATGGCTGAACAACAATGAGATTGTATTTAATCCACTGAAATTACATATTTGAAAATGGGTAAGCTGGTCAATTTTAGGTTATAAATATTTTACCACAATAAAAAAAAGAACATTGAAGTTAAAAATTCATTGAAGTCAGGATTCAGCATTAAAAAAAAGCCAACTTTTTTTTTTTTTTAATCAAGAGATAAGTTTGTAGCTCTAAGCTCAAGGTCTAGGTTGAGGACAATCATTTTGAGTCCTAGTAAAGAACAACCAGTTTTAAGAACATTGTCAGGCAAGCTACCATGTAGCTCTCCTTCACTCCATGCTTAGCTCTTCCAGACTTCCCAGTACTGATGAAGGGTCACATTTTTGTTTAGCTTTGCCCAGTGCTGTCATTCATAATAGATGAATGAAAAGTCCCAGAAACCTGTTCTGTTTGGGAAGGTTTTCTTTTGTTCCAGGCTTCGATGGTTAATATGCTTGACAAATTTCAGAGTCTCTCTATCTCTGTAGACCAATGCCAAAGAATTGTTTTCTGGATTCACTGTTAGCAGCTGAAATAGACAAATACAATGACACATCAGAACATAGAACTTATTTTCAACTATTGGACGATTAACCATGGAACAGACAGTTTCCATATCAAGTACTTGATCTGGGGATAAAGGGGTCCTCTGAATGCACCTTTACTAGGGGTGGCTGTTAAGCCATTTTCCAATAAGTCCTATTCCAGCATATTGCAACTATTTCTTACTACATTGTAAGATTTTTGGGAATGCACCACATGGCTCCTAATTTGGAATTTCTCAGGAGGGTAAAATAAATGGTTACTGAGTATCCTTTATTTCGTCTTGAGTATTTTCTACTAGAAATCAGAACCACTGCCAGGCAGACCAACAGAGATTTATCAGCTAAAGACACTGGTGGAAGGTCATAAAAACTGGGTTTTTGAAAAATGAAAGCATTCTCAATAACTAAAAAGGATAGTTTGCTATCAGAATAAACTTACCTCTTCATCTTCACCTTTGGCAATGTAAGAAGTAAAACCGCCATATTCGGGCTCCCAGCCTTACAAGAGAAAAAACAAACAGCATTCAGAAAGCTCTTATTGCAAGAGTTGCATCATCTGCTTAAATCACTGATGCCAATATGCTTAACAGTGGGGGATCTAGGAGTTTAGCAGTAACTGATTCTATGACTTGTGAGCTTGAATTTATCATCTAGTTTATCATGGATTCCCCTCCCCTAAATGCCTAATTTCCTAAGACAGCTGAACTGAAATGCAGACTTATTTCAATAAACTTTGAATAGGAAAATTAATAGAGAATTAAATGCTAAATATACCCAGAAGGGCAATTACATTAAGTCTACAGATCTGGGAGCACACTTAGAGGAAAATTAAGGTCCATCTCTCCATTCCCTAGTCAAGTCACAGATATAAATCCTATTTTGAGCTAGGAGACTGGAATTCATGACCCCCAAAATCCTTTAGACTTTGAGATCCCATGATCTGAGATTCTGAACTAGGAAATTATGAATTGGTTCAGCTGCAAAGCGTCCCTCAGAAGAGACTGCCCCTCCTATGGGGAATAATTCACTACTTGCTTTCCTCTCTCTTACCTTCACACCCACAGTAGAGAATTAAGTCTAGGGCAAATTCAGCCTTGCAATGGTCATGAATTAAAGTGTAGTGACCAGTCTTCCAGTGCCTCAGTTCCCCCTGGCATGTGGGAACACTTGATTCTAAAAAGAAAAAAAGAAGGGCCAGAAACTTTAAAAAATAACCTTGATAGAACTGTTAGATCGTAAGGGAATGATAATTAGGAATGATATGGCAATACAGGGAAACCATTCCCACGAACCTTTGGCTGAACCAATTCAGCCTTATAAAAGATTGTCAGAAATCACCAGCTCCATTTTGGGGTAAAAAAATTGAATTTTGATTTCTCTGTATAATAAATTTCAGATGGAAGTCTAGTTGCAAAAAATAAAAAAACAGGAATATTATTTTATCTAAGCTTAAAGTAGAGATTTCTCAGCATGTCATTATCTAAAGTAGAAACCAGGAAAAGCAAAGATAGATCTGATTACTAAAATATTTTATAAAATTTAAACCATGCTGAACAAAATTAAAAAACAAACTATTACAACCTGTTGAACAGAAGGTTAATAATACTCCTCTGAGGCAGGCAGATCACCTGAGGTCAGGAGTTCAAGACAGCCTGGCCAGTATGGCAAAACCCCATTCCTACTAAAAACACAAAAATATTAACCAGACATGGTGGTGTGTGCCTGTAATCCCAGCTACTTGGGAGGCTGAGGCACGAGAATCGCTTGAACCTGGGAGGCAGTGGTTGCAGTGAGCCGAAATCACACCACTGTACTCCAGCCTGAGTGACAGAGCGAGACTCCACCAAAAGAGGTTTAATACTCTTTCTTATATGTAACATTTTTTTATTTCTATAACTGATACAATGACAAAAAGCGCAAAGGAAAAATACACTGAGGTAATGAGAGGCAATTCATGAAAAAAAATCAAGCAACCAATAGAGAAAAATATACAACCATGCACCATTAGTCAATGATAGGCAAATGCCATTTTCACCTAAAGAATAAGCAAGTTGAAAAAGAAAATATGATAGTTTGGTAGGAAGAATGAATACATCATCATGTACAGTGCTGGTGGGAGTGTAGACTGACACAAGTTTTGGGGAGGGCACCTTGGCAATTGCCTTAAAATTTTGAGCAGTCTTTTTTTTTTTTTTTTTTAATTATCTTTATTTTATTACTTTTTTCTTTTTTTTTTTTTTTAAGATGGGGTTTCACTATGTTGGTCAGGCTGGTCTTGAACTCCCGACCTCAGGTGATCGCCTGCCTTGGCCTCCAAAGTGCTTGGATTACAGGTGTGAGCCACCATGTCCGGCCGAGCAGTCTTTGATATATCAACTGCACTTCTGAGAAGCATTCTGAAGACATAATGAATGCACTGTTTATTATGACAAGGAAGAAAGTTTAAAAATCTAAATGTTCAACAAAGGACTGGTTAAGGTCATTTGATCCAGTAGATTGCAGGCATTAAAAATTATACCGGAGAACAGTGTTTTTCAAAACTTAGTTGTGGCATACATTCTTGAAATGAAAGCTACTAGAAATGCAATGCTGGAAAGCAGACACATGTAAAACTGCTTTGGTGGAAGGGTTTCCTAAGTGAGGAGGGTGTCCAAACCTGTTCTATTGCTACAAAGGATATAAAAGGATGAGAAAGAGGCTTATATTAAGTGGAAAAAAGGATTACAGAACAATATATATTATATAATCTCATTAAAAATACATGTGTAAAAATATAACCCTATATATGTATACATATATGTCTACATACCAAAAAAACAGTGGAAGGGTATATTCCAAATGCTAATATGGCCACCTGTAGATGATTATTATTTTCCTTTTACTTATTTGTTTTCTAAACAATCTGAAATTGATGTGTTATTTTTATTTTTTAAAAACATCTTAAAATTATCAGGTCTGTAATATTGTCTCACTAGATGTGCCCTAGCTATGCCAATGTTTAGGACTGCTATCATATGCCCAGCTATTTTATAGCTTTTGCCAAGCTTTATAGCTTTTCCTCAATATGGTGACATTTATAAACAGTGATTTTTCTCATTCATTTTGGATTCCCTACTCTGCTTTGGCCCAGGGCCCCTTCTATAGATAGGTGCTCAACAGTGGAATAAAGCATCTTTTGGCTGCCCATACAGATTTTATCCCAAGTTGCAGGTTCCCATAAAAATGAAACCAAAAAAGGTATAGAAGTGGACAAGTTTTGGCCAGGTATGATGGCTCACACTTGTAATCTCTGCATTTTGGGAGGCCAAGGTGAGAAGATTACCTGAGCCTAGGAGTTCGAGACCAATCTGGGCAACATGGCAAGATTCCATCTTTACCAAAAAAAAATCAAAATTAGCTGGCATGTGGTAGCACATGCCTGTGATCCCAGCTACTTGGGATACTGAGGCAGGAGGATTGCTTGAGCCCAGGAAATCAAGGCTGCAGTGAGCTGTGACTGTGCCACTACACTGCAGCCTGCGTGACAGTGCAAGACCCTGTCTCAAAAAAAAAAAGAAATAAAGTAGTGGACAAGTTTTTTAAAAAACCTCTTTGAGATTGAGACTCTGGATACTGACTCTGGTTCCTCTTCGGCTCTAGGCAGAAATGCCAGTAGTCTTTCTTTGAAAGATTAGTTTTCCTTGTTAATGGATAATTTCCTTGTTAATTGATAACAAGGAAAACTAATCTTTCAAAGAAAGGCTACCCTGTGTATCAAAATAGCACAGAAAAAGCCACTCGGGTCTGGTTTTTCTAAATATCTGCAGTGGACAAAGTGATTGGTCAGTCAGTTTTGCAAGGCCATAGAATGAGTTATGTTGCTTTCAGTTAGCATCTCAAACCACCAATTTTGTTTCAATAGGTATTTCCCCCTTGTCTTTGATCTCCTAACTATACAGGGTTCTCAGGAAATTTGAGTGGAAGCAGGGAGTGGTAAAATGGGTGACAGATGTTCTCATCTGACATAGTAATTAGTGCTGAAACAGCTAAGCTGAATTTGTAGCTACTCAGTTAATGATGCCAATATTTTCACAGGAGTGCTACCTCTTACATTTCTTCTGTTTCTCTCTTTTGCATCTTGTTTGTAGATGATTAAACTTCTACTTGTAATAATTTCCTTCTAATTGTTTGTCCAAATTCAAGCAAGTTTTCTTAGGCTGTTATATTCAGATCTAAGCTTAAATGGTGCTCCTCAGAGAGACTTTTCTAGATCATCACCCATTCACCTAAGAGGCTACTCAGTCATTTCTTGTCATATAACCCTATTAAAATGTTTTGCATAGCACTTATCATTACTTGATGTTTTCTTGTTGTTCATGTAAACATTTAATCTCTGTCTTCTTCTACTAGAATGTAAGCTCCCAAAGACCAGAGACCTTGTCTGTTTTGTTCTTGGCTCTTCAAGGGCATAGTGGATGCTCAAGATATGTTTATTGAATGAATAAGTGTTTGAATGGTTAATGGTAAGTAAGGACAAATCCTAACAACAGCTTACCTTTCTTTGTTTCATTTTCCTCTGGCTCTGGGTCTGTCTGGTCATTGCTCTGTTGGCTGTTGTTACTGATGGCTGTCTGATTATTCTCTGGCTCAGGAGGGCTATGGCTAGTCCCTTCTTCAGTGCTATCAGCAGCAGAGGCAGCTTCTTCCTCTTTTTTGTCCTTCATCTCATCTTCTTCAGAAGGGGCCAAGCAATGAAGCTTCAGGCCAGTGAAGTTGGAGAGCAGTAAGAATAGGGCCTCAGAGCGAAATAACTTCATGCACTCCTTCAATACATCAGGAAGCTTACTCTCCTCAGCTTTCTCATAAAACCTGAAACACAGCAATGTCAAGTTGTTCATCAAAGCCACAGATATAAAATGACTCATGGAATAAAAGCGGATCCTTAGCTTTGTAACTCTCTTCCTAAATCTTGGCACAGCTTACTAAAGTACAAGTTATTACAATAGTGAGATTTTGTTAGGATTTTGTAGGATATCCTGCTACTGGATGTCCCTGAGAACAAAACATCATTAGGGCAAGGGTCCTGTTATTGGGTGTGAGCCTTGGTCCATGATTGTGTATTTTCTCCTGTTGGTTATTTGATTTTCTTTCATGAATTGCCTGTCATCACCTCAGTGTATTTTTCCTTTAGACTTTTTGTCATTTTACTAGTTATAAACAATGTTATAGGTGCTGAATGCAGAAGCAAATACCTCAGATGATGGGTTCTACCTTTTGTTAGGGGGACCTCGGCTGCTCCATTCCACATCTCCATGCTCCAAGGCCTCACAGACTTCCGCAAATTTCTCAGGCTAGAAAATGAGCAAATAAAGAAGCAGTAAGCAAATCTCCCTATTACCCTACACTGGTTTGGCAGGTATAGTAGCTCTGCCAAACATCAATCTGGCTGATTCCTAAAAGGTGCAGTTGACTCTACTCCTTTCTTGTCTTTTTTTTTTCTGCTCTTATTGCCCAGGCTGGAGTGCAATGGTGTGATCTTGGGTCACTGCAACATCTGCTTCCTGGGTTCCAGTGATTCTCCTGCCTCAGCTTCCTGAGTAGCTGGGATTACAGGCATGCACCACCACGCCCGGCTAATTTTGTATTTTTAGTAGAGATGAGGTTTCTCCATGTTGGTCAGGCTGGTCTTGAACTCCCTATCTCAGGTGATCCATCCACCTCAGCCTCCCAAAGTGCTGGGATTAAAGGCATGAGCCACTGCACCCTGCCGCCTCTCACTCCTGTCATGCAAGATCCCCTACTCCTGCTGTGGTGAAGCCAGGGCAAAGACTGGATACAGCATCGGTTTGCTTTAGCCAAGAGATCTGAGTGCCTGTTATGGCCCATTCTCTTAAGTAGTTATATATCTGACGTTAAACTCCTCAGCCTCCCAAATTGCTACATTTATAAAATGAGGATCATAATACAGACCATAATACAACTCACAAGATGTTGGGGGATAAAAATTAAACTGCATTACAGTCAAGGTCATTACTGTGAAAATCTCTAACAATTCAGATTCTCTAGGCCCCTAATTTAATAAGCATTCTAAATTCAAAAAGTTAGGTATGACATAAGGAAGCTGGTTAATCTATTAAAATATTCTCCACAAGAGACTTTCCATTTATTCCTTTAATGCAGTTTCCCAAGCAGTCCTATCAGCTATAAATACGTGAAAACGGAAAAGATCCCACAGCATGGTTTAGGTAAACTCAATTGAATAGGGTATTCAGTTAATTTACTATAACTTCTCAAAATCTTATATTCTAATGTCAGCTATAAAATTCCTAGAGAGAGACAGAATGTAGTCTCTCAACCTTTTTTCATGGAGCAATAGCTCTTGGGACCATAGTTCCCTGGGACCCACAGTCAACTGTGAAGTGCCATGCCAGCAAGTTATCTTATTGGCCCTCACAACAACTTTGTTGTGAGGAAGGCAAGGCAGGTATGAATCCGTTTAACTAAAGACAAAATAAATACCCAGAGTGATTAAGTGATCTGCCCAGGTTAGTAAAACCACAGAACCAAGGCATGAGAATAGGTCTTCTGATTTTTTTTTTGAGATGGAGTCTTGCTCTGTTGCCCAGGCTAGAGTGTAAAGGCTCAATCTCAGCTCACTACAACTTCAACCTTCCAGGTTGAAGTGATTCTCCTGCCTTAGCCTCCCGAGTAGCTGGGAATACAGGTGTGTGCCACCATGCCCAGCTACTTTTTGTATTTTTTTGGAGTAGAAATGGGGTTTCACCATGTTGGCCAGGCTGGTCTTGTACACCTCACCTCAGAGATCTGCCTGCCTTGATCTCCCAAAATGCTGGGATCACAGGCGTGAGCTACCGCGCCTGGCCAGTCTTCTGATTTCTGATGTCTTTCCACTTACAGCAAGCTGCCTCATCACTGTCAAACATTCATCAACAGATATTGATCTATTAGTAATCTATTTTTAAAAGTAGTAAGATACACCATTTTTGTTAGAGGAATAGAAAGGTAACTACACACAACTTCTGAGGATGGAAGCTTGTGTGTGTGTCTGTCTTTGTGTGAATGTGTGTGTGTTTAAGACTCCAGAGAACTGGGGAATACCAAGGGATTCTTAACCCACTAAGCATACTGCTGATACTAATGTTAGTGTTATCATCATTTCTATATTTCATTTGAAGAGGAATGACATAAACATTCTAATCAGGAACAAAACAAAAGCTCCTCAGTGATGCCTATTCATCCATTCAGGAAGCAAAATTACATGCCAAACAAAATATTCAGAACAAGATATGCTAGCCTACCTTAAGAAACTCCTTCAGGAGAATTTCAGAACTTTCTTCAAACTCTTCTTGAATTTGAACTTGATAATCCATGTCCAGATAAGTAGGGTTGATCCAATCATACAAAATCTCATGCTTACGAAGAGGCAGCAGATGCAAAATGTGAGTTAATAATTCCTATTGCTTTTGCTCTTACATCATTTCACACTAATAAAATACAGGCAAATCCTTACTTTATAAGTTTCTCCTATTAAACATAACATACTGGAAAACTCTGCTTGAGAAAGACACTATCAAAAGTTTATTTAAGAAAAGGGGAGGCCAGGCTCAATGGCTCACACCTGTAATCTCAGCACTTTGGGAGGCCACAGTGGAGGGATCATTTGAGGTCAGGAGTTCGAGACCAGCCTGGCCAACATGGTGAAACTTTATCTCTACAGAAAAATACAAAATAAGCCAGGCATGGTGGTGAGCGCCTGTAATCCCAGCTACTCAGGAGGCTGAGGCAGGAGAATCCAGGAGGTGGAGGTTGTAGGTGAGCCAAGATTGCACCACTGTACTCCAGCATGGGCGAGGGAGCAAGACTCTGTCTCAGAAAAAGGAAAGTGGAAAGGGGCAAACTCAAGCTCAAAGTCCAGTTTCATTAATAGAAACAGCTAACTTTAAAATTGGAGAAACAATTGATATGCTATAGTTCCTAAGATAAGGATATCAGCAATTCTTACATCTTGTGGGATGTGAGGGCTCCTAGGTATGAGGGGTTCAAAGTAGTTGGGAGGCCTAGTCAACGATGGACCATGAAACCAGCCACTTATAGACAAACGTGACTTTTCTTCAGACAGGACTTCAGACACCTGAAAGGAAAAGCCCAGCAGCAAATCAACACGAAGAATAAAGGGGATTACCAGCCAATGCACATTAATTTCAGGGTCCCCCATGCTACGTATTAAAACAGCATCAGATAACAAGTCGATGCAGCTGTCACGTTTGGATAATGGGTGATTAAAAAGCATAATCCTTGGTATTCGATTAGTCGTTTACAATCTTTACCTGGTGAAAGGACACTGGAGATACTTCAAAGAAAACCAGTTTGTTCCACGAAGGGATAAGAGACTTGACAATCTGCTTCGGCTGAAAGTGTTCTGCACCAGGAGATAACATATCCATAAATGTGGTTCATTGTCATTAACCACTGCCAGCCTGCCTCATTTTACTCTTGACAATTTCCTTATTTCTGAGGGCATCTACATGTACTCTTCAGACCCTGAAATACCACCCTTTCTAGCTGTTTCACTCATACTTGTGAGTTTGACTAAAGGGCATCTGTTCTTACTACACCATCTGTCTATTATTGAGAAGGGCCTGAATAAGTTCTCAGAGCTTCCTGGAGTCAACTTCTGGTGCTAGATATTCAAAAAAAACCCTGACTTTCTGTCAAATGGACTGGTCCTGGCAGATTCATAGCCACACGCAGCTTTATATGCACTCTACCCTTCCACAGTCAGTATTCAGATGCTGGGTCTGACTATTTCTCATCTTAAACAGATTCTAATTTATCACTGGAGTAATTTTTAAGTACAAGTTAAAGAGGTGGCTGTCAGGTAGTCACTCCAGAGGAATAAATGAGGAATAAAGACATTGTATATAAGAACATGATACTAAATCAACTCAGCTTTAACTCAGAAGTGGCCACTGGTGGTGAAGTGCATGCACTTGTACTTGTGTTACCATCAATGCTGTACAGGTCCAGGGTACCCCCCAGGCTCCTGTCCCAGGGAGGAACCAGGTATAGGATGAAGGCGATCCGGCGCCCTTCCAGCTCATCATCATGGCACAGCAGAGCATCTGCAATAGTTTAATGTATACCTTAGATCCCTGCAGATAGTGACCAGCTGACATGACTACATTTAATATCAGTCCATTTGACATTCATCTGTAATGTGAGCTCCAGCTTTAAATGTCCTCCAGCTTTAAAATGACACTTACTTCTCCTCTTTTATAAGTAAACAAGTAAGTCAATATAGAAAACTCTAAAAACGCTAAAGAGCACATAATTAGATCCAGATATAATCACTGACAGTAGTTTTGCATATAATCTTTCAGTATTTTTCCTATATATATGTGTTTACTTTAAAAAAACAAAAAAGCACCTGACAGTGGCTACTTGTGGCCTGCTTTTTAAATTACATGGCAAGTATCTTCCCTATCAATATACACACTTGGCATCACTTTTAATGGCTGCACCTATGCTATTATATAGATTATGAACTTACCTCCTTTCCCCTTTAATAGATTTCCTATTTGTTAATTAAGTTGTTTCCATTTCTTGGCCATTATAAAGACTAATTCAATGAACATTATTGTACATGGATCTTTTTGTACTTGTTCCCATTAGTTTCCTGAGGTAAACTTCTAAAAGCCATGTCGTGGGGCTAGCAAGATAGGCATCTGTGCAGGCTGAGAGGGAGGAAAGGCTATGGTGAACTGCAACCAATTGCACATGGAGAGATCGTTTCAATAAATAAATATATTGAAGACAATGGGAGCCAGGTTTCTCACCATTCAAGAAGGGAGTTACAAATATGGAAAAGCAGGAATCTAGAATGAACCCTGTGGTGTTCAACTGGAACTGGAGGAATCTATGTGAATTCAGTTTCTCATATATGTGTGTGTGTGTGTGTGTGTGTGTGTGTGTAAAAGTACAGGCTGGGCATGGTGGCTTATGCCTGTGATCCCAGCACTTTGGGAAGCCAAGGCAGGCAGATCACCTGAAGTCAGGAGTTAGAGACCAGCCTGGCCAACACGGCAAAATCCCATCTCTACTAAAAATACAAAAATTAGCAGGGTGTAGTGGTGCACACCTGTAATTCCAGCTATTCAGGAGGCTGAGATAGGAGAATGATTTGAACCCAGGAGGCAGAGGTTATAGTGTGCTAAGATCACACCACTGAATTCCAGCCTGGGTGACAGAGAGAGACTCAGTCTGAAAAAATATATATATTCTAAATATAAATGTATATGTGTGCATCTGTGTGTATGTATGTACATGTATACAGATATTCACCATCTCTTTACACTGAAAGGGTCTGGGTGCAGTGACACTCTAATAGCAAAGACACTTAAGAGTCCAGATCTTGATTGTTAAGTATCATTCTTTACTAAAATGAACCAGGGTTCTTTGGAAGAATGGCCAACTCCAGGTCATTTTAGGACCCTGGCATCGAAAATACAAGATAAATGTGGAAAATCTTATTTTGCAGAAAGTAAGAAAAAAAAAGAATGATAGGCACATAGCAAAAGGACACAGAAGTCAGTTTGAAAGAGCTCTCCTTGGTCAAATCAGGGACAATATCAGCATCAGTATAATGATAGTAACTGATAACAGCTCATTACACAAATAGCAATCCATAAATCCATACCAATATAAACAAATGAATGAATAAATAAATTGGGAGAAAAGTCTTGTCTAGAGTAGAATGACAATAACTAGAGAGATGATTGTGTTATAAAATCAGTATCTGGCAACCTTCATGGTAATAATTTATTAAGAAACATCAGAGAATGCTAAAGTAAGCAAATCAAAGTTTCATGAGAAATGGAATATTTACATAATCTTAAAGTATCTCCCCATAAAATACATAATGACAGGGAACAAGAATAGTAGAGAAACCTGATGTCAGCTACCACATTAATCAAGTGATCAAAGTTAATATCACTAATAATAATGTGACATATTGAAACCACACACTACCTGATAACAGTAAAAAGAACCCAGTATTAATTCTGTAATCCTGCCAAAAATATATGGCCTAAATCTAATCATGAGAAAACATCAGACCATTCCAAACTATGGAAAGTTTTCCAAAATAACTAATCTAAACATCTTCAAAAGCATAAAGATCATGAAAATCCAGGAAAGATGGAGGGGCTATTCTAGATTGAGGGAGGTTGAAGAGACAATATTATAACTAAATGCAACATGCAATCCTGACTGGATCTTTTTGCTATAAAGGACCAAATAATGAAAGCTGAAGGGAGCCTGGGACTTAGATAATCCATTGACATGGAATAATACATCAACATGAATTTCCTGATTCTAATGGTTCATGACTATCATGTAGGAAAATGTAGGAGTATTCAGGGGTCATAGAACATCATGCCAACAACCTACTCTCAAGTAAAACTGGAAAAAATAAATTATTTATGTTTGCCACTTTTCTGCAAGTTTGAAATTACTTCAAAGTAAAAAGAAAAGATACTGGCTGGGCATGACAGCTCATACCTGTAATCCCAGCATTTTGGGAGGGCAAGGCAGGTGGATCACTTGAGGTCAGAAGTTCAAGACCAACCAGGCCAACTGGTGAAACCCCATGTCTACTAAAAATACAAAAATTAGCCAGGGGTCATGGCACATGCCTGTAATCTCAGCTACTCAGGAGGCTGAGGCAGGAGAACTGCTTGAACCCAGAAGGCAGAGGTTGCCGTGGGCCAAGATCGCACCACTGCACTCAAGCCTGGATGACAGAGAGACTCTGTCAAAACAAACAAAAGAAAGTATATGATGGTAAATGAAGATCCACCATATGGCTTTTCCTGTGTATCACCAAGTCATCCTCTAAAAGTTGTGAATAAGCTATACTTCCAGGACAGTGTATGAGAGCACACTCAAATAATTATCTAGTAAAATTTAAAAAAGAAAACTCCTTTCCTTCTAGGTAAAAAATCAAGCATGTATCCAAAAAACCATTTATGTGCTGAGAAAAGGAAATGGAGGGATGTACCCCAAAGTGGTGACAAGAGAAGAGGAGGCAGGGAGAAGGTAAAGAAAGCTATCATGGTTTACACCATATACTTGCAATATTGTTTAATTTTTTTTTTCCTTTAAGAATATATTCACTTGGCTGGGTGCAGTGGCTCATGCTTATAATCCCAGCACTTTGGAAGGCCAAGATGGGCGGATCACAAGGTTAGGAGATAAAGATCATCTTGACTAACACGTTGAAACCCTATCTCTGCTAAATACAAAAAGTGGCCAGGTGTGGTGGTGCATGCCTGTAGTCTCAGCTACATGGGTGGTTGAGGCAGGAGAATTGCTTGAACCTGGGAGGCAGAGGTTGCAGTGAGCCGAGATCATGCCACTGCACTCCAGACTGGGAGACAGAGTGAGACTCTGCCAAAAAAAAAAAAAAAAAAAGGCTGGGTACAGTGGCTCATGCCTATAATCCCAGCACTTTGGGAGGCCGAGGCAGGCAGATTATCTAATGTTGGAAGTTTGAGACCAGCTGACCAAAATGGAGAAATCCCATCTCTACTAAAAATACAAAAAATTAGCTGGGTGTGCTGGTACATGCCTGTGCTGGTACAGCTACTCAGGAGGCTGAGGAAGGAGAATCACTTGAACCAGGGAGGTGGAGGTTGCAGTAACCCGAGATCACGCCATTGTACTCCAGCCTGGGCAACAACAGTGAGACTCCATCTCAAAAAAAAAAAAAAAAAAAGAATGTATTCACTTATTGGCTTCAAAATAAAAAAGAAAAGGGAAAATAGCATTGAAGGAGATGGTTGTTCCTTAGGAAGTCCAAGAATATAGAGTTTATATATCACTCTGAATTTCTTGATAATTGTATGCACAGTTGGTATGTATTGGATTATAGGCATTTTGCTGAAAATATGGCCAGTAGCTTTCATTATATTCTGAAAGACAACCAATCACTGCTTATGCCTTCCTATAAGATGGGTATTTCTGTCTATGAACTGTGTCTTTATCAGGAAGATCCGGATGCTTTGCAGGGACATTCGGTTGAGAGATGGTACACAGATACCATCTCTCCATTACTGTTGAGTTAAAGCCTCTAAATCTTAACATCAGGCCATTATCTTCCTTACCAGTGAATTCATATTTAGCACAGGACATGTCAATGGTTGGTTCCAGGTCAATTTTAGAAATATCAGAAAGCCAGGACCGGAAATCTTCAAACAGAATTTTCCTAGAAATGTAAACAAAAGAAAACCTGTTATGCTGCCACAGTGTGGGCCCTATTTGGATCTAGGTCACAACTTTTCTTTCCTGGAGATCACATTTTATTCAAGAGATTCATTCTTAGATCTCATTTGAGATATTCTGAGAAATGTTTCTCAGTTCAAATTTGCATAGTTTAAGTCTAACGTTCCCAGAAAAATGAATGTAAAGCTCTATCTACTGTGGCTTATTTGTTTTAATGGTTCATGTTTTCTCAGTATTTTCTTCCCCCTAAATTTAAAGTATGCCCTATCATGGCAGAAGTGACAAAGGCCAAAGCCTTTGTCATAACAACTCATCACACCAATGTTCTACTCCAAGCTACCAATTTTCAGACATGTTTTTCAGCACTAAAATGAAAAGCTCAACTTCTCTTTTTTTTTTTTGGAGATAGAGTCTTGCTCTGTTGTCTAGGCTGGAGCGCAGTGGCATGATCTCAGCTCATTGCAACCTCTGCCTCCTAGGTTCAAGCAATTCTCCTGCCTCAGCCTCCTGAGTAGCTGGGATTACAGGCATGCACCACCATGCCCAGCTAAATTTTTTTTTTTTTTTGAGACGGAGTTTCGCTCTTGTTACCCAGGCTGGAGTGCAATGGCGCGATCTCGGCTCACTGCAACCTCCGCCTCCTGGGTTCAGGCAATTCTCCTGCCTCAGCCTCCCAAGTAGCTGGGATTACAGGCATGCACCACCATGCCCAGCTAATTTTTATATTTTTAGTAGAGATGGGGTTTCTCCATGTTGGCCAGGCTGGTCTCCAACTCCTGACCTCAAGTGATCCGCCCACCTCGGCCTCCCAAAGTGCTGGGATTACAGGTGTGAGCCACCGTATCCAGCTTCAACTGTTTTTCTTTACATACTTTACTTCACTTGCAATGCCAAATATGTGGGCTTTTCCCCACACACTGACCAATTCTCTGACACCAGCTGAGTGTCTTAAAAGTCAATTCAATTCTGACACTATCTATCAGGGGTTAATCAGGTTAAGGGCTTAGTCCCACGAGATTGCCCCCAGTGTGACCCCTCCTCCCCCACCGCCATTTCATATACTAATTACAAGTCCAAGTTGTGACCTTTATGCTTCTAACCAAATAGTTACAAACCAGAAGTTCACACTACTGCCTCCTCGGGTTTGATAATTTGCTAGAATACCTCACAGAACTCAGAAGAAGTTTGTTTACTAAATTACTCGTTTATTATAAAAGGATACAACTCAGAAATAGCCAGATGGAAGGGCTGTATAGGGTGAGATATGGGGAAGGGTTGTGGAGCTTCCACGCCATAGTCCTCCCCAGTTATACCACCTTTCCAGTACCTCCATGGGTTCAGCAATTCTAAACTCCTTTGGTTAGGGTATCTGATGGAGGTTTCATTATGAAGGAATAATTGATTAAGTGATTGGCTATTGGTGATTAACTCAACCTCCAGCCCTTCTTCCCTTGCAGAAGGTCAGAGAGGTCTGTGCCAGGAATAGAGACCAAGACCAAATATACATTTATTATAAATCACAAGCACTAATACTAGTACCACCATTTAATGAACACTTAGGTGGCACTGTTTAGAAGATTAAAACAACTTTAAATGGCAATAATGGTGAGTGAATTAAACGCATAATAATCAGCAAAATCCTTCATAGAAGTTCTGATGCTAACAGGATACCAATAGGATACCATTTGTCAGCTAAACTGGCTCTCTACATAGAAATCTCTTGAACACAATTTATTGCTCATTCAGCTAATCAACTTTGAAATTATGAATTATTAACCTCAAGGAATTAAAAACATTTTTAAAAGGTTTACATTAGTTCAAATTATGCTTACAAAGATACTTCAATATTTTTTGGATCATCCTACTCCAAATGCACTTAACTGAAATTACCATAAAATACAACTGTCCTGTTTATAACAAAATATCAAATCTCCAGGTTGATCTCCAAGATTTCATTACCAGATACCTTTTTATATTATATACTACCCAAAGAAAAAAAATGCCATTATCAGCTGTGAACAAGCTTAAAAAAAATTCCATAAAATACTTGTGCTCGGTCAGTCCACCCAGAGGTGCCATGTTAACTTTTAAAGGCAGAGTTGCAAATTATATAGAAAGGATCAGGATAGCAAACTGCTGAACCAGGCTTTGGATAATGTGAGTGATAAATATTTCTTCAAACTCTTTATACTCTAAGCAACCAATAGTCTTAAATCCTTTACTGGTAACATCAGCTTCCACAAATTCCAGAAAAACCTCCTCTACTCATTCTATGAAAGTGTCACAAGGACAGGCATATTTTCTGTCATTGTTAGCACTTGTTAATTGTATTCATGAAGGAACTCACAGAACCCAAGTAGGAAATAAAAAGATCAGCTTTCTGTAATGATTAAGGAATTGCCGCTAGCTCACCATCTGGCTGTAAGCCTTCGGTGTGGAATGTAACTCAGTCCCACATGAAATGCTTAGCAGAGGGGTGTTGTGAACTAAGGAGATAATGTCTTAATGCATAATAATCTGTCTTTAGGGGGAAAAAAGTCTAAGTAAATATGAAACATAATGTGCTACAGTTAACACACAAGCAATAGTTCAGGATTTAGAAGAAAGAAACTGTGTAGGCTTCCTATCATACATGGAAGTGTTGCAGAGAAAAAAATAGAATGAGAATAAATAATTTATGCCACATAGATGAAAAACAGCTATTTCAAAGCAACATGTACTCATTACAAAAAAACTAGGAAAAAATCCTATGTAAGTAAAAAATTGTTAAACCTGTATTCCTACTAGCAAGAATTAAATACTCTATTTTTCCAAATCTTTATCATTGTACACCCAAATGTAAGTGTGTGTATCTCTTTTTAAAATAAGATAGCATGACATGAATCTACCGGTCAGAAAAAAACAACAAACCATCAAATTGCATGTACCATTCATTTTTTTTCTTGACAAAAATGTGTATCATTATTTTATATATCACTAAGAAAAAAATGCTGTCATTTAAAGTAGGACACAAAAGTGATTGTGTGAGACACTAGATCTCAGAGCGGTGGCTCACGCCTGTAATCTCAGCACTTTGGGAGACTGAGGCAGGTAGATCACGAGGTCAGGAGTTCAAGACCAACATAGTGAAACCCCATCGCTATTAAAAATACAAAAATTAGACAGGCATGGTGTCAAGTGCCTGCAGTCTCAGCTACTCGGGAAGTTGAGGCAGGAGAATCATTTGAACCCAGGAGGCGGAGGTTGTGGTGAGCCGAGACTGCACCACTGTACTCCAGCAACAGAGTGAGACTCTGTCTCAAAAAAAAAAAAAAAAAAGTTAAAAGCTTCTTAGAGTTGAGAAAATAGATAACGACAATATTCATGTGTCAAAATTCATATATACCATATTTAATGGTTATATAGTTTCCACTTTTTGTTTTGTACTATTAGGTTTAAATCTCCACGGGCCATTAAATCTGTATATAATTTTTCAATATTATAAACAATATTACAATAAATAATCTTGTGTGGAATCTTTGAGCATATCCTTGTTTTCTCCGGATAAATTCTTATAAGTGAAATTATTCTACAAAAAGATATGCATATTTTTGGCTTGGCATGGTGGCTCACCCATATTACGTAATCCTTGCACTTCGGGAGGCCGAGACGGGTGGATCACCTGAGGTCAGGAGTTCAAGACCAACCTGGCCAACATGATGAAACCCTGTCTCTACTGAAAATACAAAAAATTAGCCAGGCGTGATGGTGGGCGTCTGTAATCCCAGCTACACTGGAGTATTGGGGCAGGAGAATCACTTGAACCTGGAAGGCAGTGTTTGCAGTGAGCTGAGATTGCACTACTGCACTCCAGCCTGGGCAACAAGAGTGAAACTCCATTTCAAAACAACAACAACAACAACCAAGATATGCATAATTTCAAAGGTTCTGATACATCTTTCAAAATCATCTTCTAAGAAACACTGTAGCAGTGTATAAAGGTATCTATAACTGATCTATACCTGTCAACACTAGGGTTTTTGTTTTTAATATTTATCAACCTAACGTGTGAAAAATGCTATCTCCATTGTTAACTTCTGTTTCCTTGATAACTAACAAGGCTGAGCATTTTATCACTGAGAACTTGGGCCTTGGAATGAGACGGACTTATTTTAAGCTATGCAAACTTAATTTCTCAGTCTTTTTTCTCCTCTACAAAGTGGGTTAACGATGTCAACAAGGATTATATAACACACACAATGTTGTAACATTTAAAGCACTTACTACTCTGCCTGGCACATGTTAGGTACACAACAAATATGATTACTTGTTTACCTTAAAGCAGAGATGTGAGGCTCTCTTCTCTTCCTCAAATCATCAGACTGGAACATGAAAAGAGAGGGGGAAAAAAAAAGGGATTTCCTTCACATAAGAAACACACAAAGGAGAGCAGTTTACTGAGTGTTCTGGTCCTAGCATTGACATTAAGAGCCCAGACTCGGAAGCCAGGCTGCTTAGGTTTAATACAGGTCCCTTCCATTGGAAGGCTCTGTGACTTGCCAAGTTACTACCCTCTGTGCTGTATTCATTGAACAAATACTTAAGTCACTGTAATAGTCTAGTGCCTATCCCTGTTAAGGGAGACAGACAACAGACACAAAAAGCAGATTAGTATAAAGATGGTGAGACATGCAGAAAGGGAAAAAAAAAAAAAAAACCCAGGAAAATAAGAATGGGGAGTGCTGAGCCTGGGGAGTGGTTTGCAATTATAATCAGGTCGGCTAAGGTAGACTTCAAGGAGGTGAAACAAAGACTTGAAGGAGGCTGGGAAGTGTGGCAAGGGAATATCAAGGAACAAAGCATTCAGGGCCCTGAGCATGAAGCATGCCTGGCCTATTCAAGCTACTGCAAGAGTAGAGAGAGGGAGGGCAGTAGGAGACTTAAAGCCATTTTAAGCACTTTGGCTTTGACTCAAAGAAATGAGAAGCTTCACCTGATTATTTCTAAGCAAAAAAAAAAAAAAAAAAAAAGTCATTGGAGTTTTTGAGAAATAACATTCTTTAAAGATAATATCCACATAACACATAATATCTACATAATTTCAAGTGATTAAATTTACCATTTAACCACTTGAAGGTGTGTAATTCAGTGGATTTTAGTATATTCACATTGTTGGGCAATCATTAGCACCGCCTAATTTCAGAACTTTTTAACACTCCAAAAAGAAATCTTTGTGCCCATTTAGGTAGTCATTCCCTATTCTCTCCTCCCTCCAGCCCCTGGTAACCACTTGCCTATTCTGGTGGACATTACACATAAATGGAATCATGGACATTACACATAAATGGAATCATACAATAAGTAGCCTTTTGCATCTGACTTGTTTCGCTTAGCCTAATGTTTTCAAGGTTCATCCACATTGTAGCAGTATCAGTATGTCATTCCTTCTAATGGCTAAATTGTATTCCATTCTATGGGCATACCATATTTTGTTTATTCATAGTTGAATTGTTTCCACTTTTTGGCTATTATACATAAAACTGCTAAAAACATTTGTGTACAAGTTTTTATGTGAACATGGTTTTAATTATCTTGAGTCCATTTACATTTTAAGATAACACAATGACTTCAGTGACTGGGTGAGCAGGCAACAGTAGAAGGGAAATGGTTGATACACAAATAGAATAATCCTGGGGAGACACAGATCACTTGAACCAGGGGTTGGCCTTTGGCAGTGGAAGCAGTAAGAAGTGGGCTTCTCTGGATATACAGCGGTGTGCCACTCACATTCTGAGAAATTTGTTGTTAGGTAATTTCATTGTTGTTCCAACATCATAGAGTGCATTTACATAAATCTAGATGGTATAACTTACTATACATCTAGACTATATGGTATAGCCTATTGTTCCCAAGCTACAAACAAGCTGGCATGTTACTCTATTGAATACTATAGGCAAGAAAATAGAAGTATTTGTGTATCTAAACATATCTAAATATAGAAAAGGTACAGTAAAAATAGGTATTACTTTATGGGATCACTACTGTATCCATTGCTGACAGAAAACGTCATGTGGTGACTGTATTTTCAAGGTAGAGATAGCAGAGTTTCATGACAGACTAGAAGGTAGAGATAGCAGAGTTTCACGATGGACTGGAGATAAGGTGAAAGAGGAATCAGGGATGACCTCCTTTTTGGCCTGAGCCCTGGGAAAGATCAAGCTACTATTAACTATGATGGGGAAAACTGCAGGTGGAGCAGAGTTAGAGGGAGAAGGCCAGAAGTTTAAGTGTCAGACACTTACTAGACATCCAAGAGGAGGCAAAGCCGTGAGACCCATAGACATCTGTGTACCTAGGGAAGGAGTCCAAGCATTAGGATGCAGAGTATTCTACCATTAAGAAGTCAGGTGGAAGAGGAAGACCTAGCAAAGGAAGCTAAGAAGAAATGGCCACTGAGGAAGAACAGAAACCAAGAGAGCATGGTAACCTGAAAATAAAGTGAAAAAAATGTCTCCAGGAGGAAAGAGTGATATAGTAGGTCAAATGCTGCTGATGAGCCAAGGAAGGACTGAAAACTGATTATCAGATTTAGTAATGTGGAAGTTATCAGTGACCTTGATGAGTATAGTTTCAGTGCAGTAGCACAAGGGAAAGCCTGATTAAAATGGGCTTACCAGAGACTGACAGGAGAGGAATTTGACACAGTGCAGACAAGTCTTATAAGAAATTCTGCTGAGAAGAGAAGCACAGCAATGGGGTGGTAGCTGAAGGGAAAATTAGGTTAAGAACTTTATTTTTTCTTATGGTAAGAAGAACTAACAGCTTTTCTTTTTGGTATGCTGAAGGGAATGATCCAGAGAGAAACAAAAACTGATATAGTTTCCTCAACTGTAAAACAGGTATAGTAATGTACCTCTTTCATGGGATTGTTTTGAGGATTTAATGACTAAATATAAAGCACTTAGCATGGCATAAAGTATGCATTCAATCATGCTTGCTTTCAAAAAATACAGAATATTGGGCAACTCCTAATGACAAAGTTGATTACGGGAGTTGGAAGCTGTCAGAGACCCGATTATCAAGTCAATTCATACCACAAGCAAAGGGTAAGGGTGAGGATTAAAGGGGCAGGAGAATGAAACCAGGTTTTATATCTACTGTCTTAGGGTGAAGAGTTCCTGTTCAAAAGGTATTAACAGTAAAAAGTATTCACAGTAGAGTTTTAACAAACTTCCACATGGATCCAAAGTAATGGGTGCTCCCCCCCCTTTTTTTTTTTTAGTCACTTAAGGCTCTTTTTATTATTTTGCCTTTTATCTTCCAGTATTTTTAATCTTCCAAATTGCATTAAGTAAAAATCATTCTGATGTTTCAATTTTAGTAATCAGAAGCACATGGCCCTAAATTAACAAGAGGCCAAGTGTGTAATAATCACAATGGCAGGCAACTGTGGTTTTTAATTAACCTGTGCAACCTTACCATGGAAAAACGTTTAGTTTTTGGCTTTCTGAATTATTAAGAGTAGTATGTTTCATGTATTTATCCTGGTTAATTCAGTCATGTGTATAAGGCCCAAAGACAGAAGATCTGGGGAAGGTCAGGATATATTCATTTGACCAATCAGCTCTAACGTAAAAGAATAAGAAAATCTCTTATTTACTTTCTTATCCCAAATAAAATAAAATGGGAAAATGCAAAAAACACAAAACAAAATTAATCTTCATCTTTTTTTTTTTTTTAAACACAGATGTCCCTGAGGTTTTCAAGAATTTCTAAGAGTGATATCCAACATGTACTAAAAGATATACCCCCAAACTGGGGAAACCAATGACCGGTATTTCTGTACCTAGACTGGGCTGTGTCTCCCAGAGTAGAAGAACCAACCTTTAAAAAAAAAAGATAGTCTTTTCTGCCCAATTAAACTGTCCACCAAAAAAAAAAAAAAAAAAAGAATGGATTTTACTCTTTGTCCTATTGCAATGTAGAGCAAACTTTAATAAATCAAGCCACCTGAAACAGACATGAGCTGAAAATTTTGAGATGGAATTTTGATCCACCCAGGCTGGAGTGCAATGGTGTGATCTCTGCTCACTCCAACTTCTACCTCCCAGGTTCAAGCGATTCTTCTGCCTCAGCCTCCCAAGTAGCTGGGATTACAGGTGAGCGTCACCACACCCAGAAAATTTTTGTATTTTTAGTAGAGAAGGGGTTTCACCATGTTGGCCAGGCTGGTCTTGAACTCCTGACCTCAGGTGATCCACTTGCCTTGGCCTCCCAAAGTGCTGAGATTACAGGCATGAGCCACCGTGCCCAGCCTGAACTCAAAATTTTAAATGGTAATTATTTCCCAATGCACAGCTCTCTTCATTATACCACTTACCCACATGTACTTAACCCCTTTCTTTCTAACATACTTACTCCTCGGCTTAATTTGTTTCTTCGCTATCTCTGTAACCATCACTTTCACCCCTATTATTATTTCTGGCCTGAGCAACTGGAAAGATCAAGTTGCTTTTAACTGTGATAGGGAAAACTGAAGGTGGAGCAAATTTAGAGAAGACCAGGAGATTAGTTTTGAATTTAAGTGTCAGACACTTACTAGATATCCAAGAGGAGGCAAAGTCATGAGACCCACAGAAATCTGTGTACCTAGGGAAGACATTATCACTCTCCCCATTCCTGCAGATGAAGAAACTGAGAAGTCTTTGAGAGTACAGAGCCTGCACTTTTAACACTAGATTTTAAAGTCTTACAGAGGAGGCACTGTCTAAGGCTTCCATATAATAATTATAGCCCTTAACACATAGTTCACACTCAGTAAGCTTGGTTAAATGAAAGCATGCTCTTAACAATGTCAATAAGGGCCCTTCAAGGCAAACCCATCCTAAAACCTCAAGTCTAAAGGTATTGAATGATTTTATAGACAATGAATTTTCAAGGTGGAAGAGCTAATGCAGCAAAGAAATAAATACCTGCTGGAACTTATATAAATCATTATACTTCTCATGGAAATCCAAGTTCATAAGTTCCTTCTGAAGCCCTTCCAAGAAGTCTTGGCTTTGGATGAAGTTTGGGATCATGCAGTGAAGAAAAGGGTCCATGTCCATGACAATGGCTTCTGTTGGAAGGAAAACATTGTCTATGGCTTCTTTCCTTTCTTTTCCCAAGTTACTGTCAGAGGTATTTACTACCTACTGTACAAAAAACAATCAGTTCAGTTCAGGCATAACCACTTCTAACTCCTTGATTTCTACCCCAACATTTATCCACTGCTTCTGGCTGGCTATATCACCACCGTGCTAATCATCATCACCACCACCGACCAGGTCCCAGGCCCAGGGGTGCTTTACATGCATTATCTCATTTAACCTTTTCAAGGGCTTTAAGGAAGACATTATCACTCTCCCCAACCTACAGATAAAGAAACAGAGTACAGAGCTTGCACTTTAAACACTAAGCTATCGTTTTCCATAGGCATCCAGACCACCCTGGACCCTCCTCTTCAAAGCACTTGACAACAGAAAGAAAAATCACAGGGAACTCTAGAAGGGGATGCCTGGCACACAAAGCAGAGCTCCTATCACATAAGGTGATGTTTGAAGCTGAGGCTGGAATCGTTCAACGCAGCCTCCTTTCCTTAGTCAACACGTGTTTACTTTCATACATCATATAGTCAAACTATAGGCGCGAAAAGACGAGAAAACTCGGGAGCCGAGCTGGCAGCTCATGGCAAATGGTCTGGCAGACTCTCCTGGGACAGCCGAGCAATGCTCTTGCACGACAAACGACATCAACCACTCCCGTATTTGTCCAGACGTGTATTGGGCCTTACTCAGGGAAACATTTACTGAAGCCTGCAAGCATTAGCTTATTACTTCCATTCACCGTCTTTCTGAGGTACAGACTATTAACTATCCCATTTTACTTAGGAAGCAGCTGAAGTTTAATAAAGTTAACTCCATTGCCCGGCGACGCCCAATCAGGGGAGAGGATTCTAGCTCGGTAATCTGAGAATCCAGAATGCAACTATCACTTGCATACCCTCTGCTTCCCGAAACTCTCCGGCCTCCATTTCTCCCTCTTCTCAGGTTTCTAAATTCAAACCGAATTTGGACTGAAAGAGAGCAGCAGCCGAGGCAGGAGGGTCGGAGGTGGCCAAAGTCCTCCAAGAGCCTCTTCCCTTGCTGCCCCGCTGCCAGGGTTCGAGTTCCAGGGCTTTTTCAGAGATCCCCAGACCCCTGAGTGGCGGCCCCTCCCTGAGAGCACCCGGTTACCGTGACTGAAAGGCGTCCTGTGGCTCCAGGCCTCAGCCACCTGCTTTTTCAAGGTTTCCTCCGTGACAGCGTCCGAAAACTCCGCCATCACCTCCTTCTTTCCCTTTTTTCCCACCCGGGCTGGGCCGGGCTCCGCTGGCCGCTTCCCATTCATCTCCTCCCAAGGTACAGAGCCAAGCCTGTACAAGACGCTACTTTCCTAAAGGGACTACAATTCCCGGCATGCCCCAATTACCGGGTTCCCCCGCGCTATCCAATTGGAAGCACCAAAGTAAGAGAAGGCGGAACCTATACCGGTTTGCCAATGGGAGCTCCAGCTATTGCAGCCATCCCACTAGCGATTGGCCCAATGGCGCTCTGTCTGGCAGGCCATCACCTTTCTACTTCCTGCCGCCAGAGGCTCCGGGTTCACTTCCGGCGTGCCTACACCTCCCATTGCGCGCTCCTGTTAATGGCGGGCGGTGGCCTCTGAGGGCATCGGAGATAACCGCTTTGCGCTCGGGGAAACTCTTCCCTGCCTCCCACTTTCTGCTCGCCGTTAGCGCCGGAACTCTCCACCATGTCTGTGGTACCACCTAATCGTTCGCAGACCGGCTGGCCCCGGGGGGTCACTCAGTTCGGCAACAAGTACATCCAGCAGACCAAGCCCCTCACCCTGGAGCGCACCATCAACCTGTAAGTGCGGCGCGGCCTTGGCGGGCATTCCTCTCCTGAGCGCTCCCAGAGACTCTCCGGCGCGCTTCACGCCTCCGCATCTCCCGCCTCCAACTCCCGCTGGCGGATGTGCGGCATCCTCGTTCCCTCAGGCCCCTTTCTCATCCTCCACCCTGAGTCCTTTTCTGAAAGGAAGGCTTGTTCCCATCCTCTGTATTCAGTCATAATGGGGAAGAACGGAGTTTGCTTTGAACTCATCCTTTCCCCACCTCTCCTGAGGTAACCAATTTCAAAATGTTTGCGTTTTTTTAATCCTTCCAGTGAAAGGTTTATGCCCTCGCATCACGTATATGCTGTTGCTTTGTGAGCGTCGATGTGATACGAGTGGTATAACTAAGTATCGTTTTTGCAGTTTTCACTCCGACACTAAGCTTTGAGATCCAGCTGGAATGCCTAAGTCTAGTGTTTTTCCTTTCAAGCGCTACCCAATATTTCAGTTTATGAATACACCACATTTTTTTCATGTGCCCGGGGCTCCCTGCCCTGCCCTTACGCCTTCCTGTCTCAGCGCCGATTTCCCAGGCACCCCAGCAGGCTCCACTTTGGGAGTAAGGCTTTCAGACCGGGGGGAACCAGAATATTTGTACCAGAAAATCCCATTGTGGGCTGCATTTTATTTTCAATACCTTTGTGTTTCAACACTTCAAACCGTTGCATTTCAAGGTCACCCTCAGAAGCAGCCTCGTTGTAGCAGGTAATCGGCGTTTGGGGTAGGTCTTAATCAAGAAATTGTCAGTAATGGTTTTTTTTGTTTTTTTGAGATGGAGTTTCGCTCTTGTTACCCAGGCCGGAGTGCAATGGCGCGATCTCGGCTCACCGCAACCTCCGCCTCCTGGGTTCAGGCAATTCTCCTGCCTCAGCCTCCCGAGTAGCTGGGATTACAGGCACGCGGCACCATGCCCAGCTAATTTTTTGTATTTTTAGTACAGACGGGGTTTCACCGTGTTGACCAGGATGGTCTCGATCTCTTGACCTCGTGATCCACCTGCCTCGGCCTCCCAAAGTGCTGGGATGACAGGCGTGAGCCACCGCGCCCGGCCAGTAATGCTTTTTTAAAATCGTTTCTGAAGATTTGTGCCTCCATTTTCCTGATGGAGGAAAGTGGCCAGTTTATGCTAGTAAGGGTACTAGTGCAAGGATTTGCTGGTATTGAGGTTTTCGTAAGACACTTTAGGTGTTTTTCTGCTTTACGTTAAAATCAGTGGACGTTCTTTCCCCACCCGCCAACCAAAAGTGATTTGAAGTTGGAAAGATGGTTAACATGGTTTTATTTTGCAAAACGTGCTGGTTTGGAAATTTAAATAATAGAAATGCTGAGTTTATAAAAACTGTACTTAGTTGATAGTTGTGCGTTTAAAAGTCCTCGGCCGTAGTGGCGGCTCACGACTCTAATCCCAGCACCTTGGGAGGCTGAGGTGGGAGGATCACTTGAGTCCAGGAGTTGTAGACCATTCTGGGCAACATAGGCCATGTCTACAAAAAAAATTTTTTTTAATTAAAAAAATCAAACGGTAAGGGCAAATATTATCCTTCTTAGTGTGAAAGCACAGCTTCTGGGTTACTTTTAGTGGTGATTAGCACTAAAACCCACAGTCTTTTTTTGTTTTATCTTTTTAATTAATTTGCATCAAACCATTTTGGAGAATTAACTTGGCAAAATAGCTTTCAGGAAGATATTTTAATCTTTGCTCTATTAAAATTATGAGTTGATTTATAGTACATTTCCTCTCCTAAATACAAAATAATCATTGTGTTGTGAACTTCAGTTCACCTGAGTTAACATTAAGTTGAAAACAAACGCCCTCTCTCCCATTATATTTTCCTTTAGGAAATATTGCATGAATGTCTTCTTTGTACCAGGCACTGTGCACAATATTGGATGTACAGCGGTGAGGAAGTAAGGTGGTAGCCCCTGCTTTATGAAGCTTACAGTATGATGAGAACAGTATGTTTGTCTGGGGTGGCACTCTGATTTCACAGATGAAGATTCTGACATTTCATTTTGACATCTCCTTGCTGATATAGTGGAACTGGCTCTTGCAACAGAGATGTGTAATGGCTATTCTTATTCTTTCTAACTCAGGTTGTGAGAATTAAATGTTAATATATGTAAGGCGTTTTTAAACAAATGCCTGGCACATCGTGTTGTGTAGCATATCTGCTGCTGCTACGGTTGATGGTGTTAGATTTAGCATTGGGTCTACTGGGGACGTTCTTTAAATCTTTAAAGCATCCTGGAAATGGTATTTTTAAATTATTTTAGAGCTTTTTCATATGCCTAGAACTTGCCTTCTGGAATTAAAGTAATTTTTAAAGTTTTGGCAACCTTGATTTGTTCCCCTTTCAAGAATGGCTGAGTGGAGTAGATACATTAATGTTGACTATTCATGTCAAGGGCTTTCGGTAGAATAGGTAACCATGGACGAGCAAATGTGGCCTAAATTCTTACCTAAAGGCTTCTTGCTGTAAGGTTTTAATCAAGGGGTTACAACATATAAGTAGGAAATTTTTAACTACTTTAAAGAAAAATTTGATCTTTATTAGGCAAGATGAAAACTGTCTTTAACAGTATGAATCATATTTTAAATTATTGGTAAAGGAAGAGGGTATTGGATCAGCTATGGTGGGTAGAAGATTCAAATGAGGAAAGGGAACAATAAGGAGACTGAAGAGAATAAATGCCGAAGGCTAGTAAGGCTTCATAATAGATTTAGAGGACAAAAAGAGAAAGTAGAAGAGTTGCTCTGAAAAGTAAAGGCTGTGGTGCCAGAAGAATCTGAGGATAGTTGACTGAGATAAACAGAAAATAACTGGAGGGATGTCAATGAAAAGTGGTGGCTTAGTTTTAGAAAAAAGGGATTAGCCATTAGTACTCACAGTTAAAACTTTCTGATGAGGTTAGTAGTCAGAGGAACCCAGGAGGACATTAATTATGAGCCAGATTGGTAATGTTGGGATAGCAGCCGTGGTCTAAAACCAGAGAATTACTAATGTCCACATAACCATTTCTCTAAGCATTTAAGGATAGTGTTATCTACACTTGAAAGTTAGAATAAGGAGTAGCAGCCTGATCTAATGGAAGCTCTGGCTTTAAGAGTCCAGAGAGCAAGATTCTAATCTCTGCTGTCTCATTAACTTTTGTTATGTAACTGTACAAATCCTATGTCTCTGAGTACAACATATGCACTTTTTTTGTAAAATGGTTTCTTTATGCTAATGTCTGTCATGGTAAATTCCATTCTTGAGTTCCCATGTTAGATTTGTCTTTGGATCACAGGTACCCTCTTACCAATTATACTTTTGGTACAAAAGAGCCCCTCTATGAGAAGGACAGCTCTGTTGCAGCCAGATTTCAGCGCATGAGGGAAGAATTTGATAAAATTGGAATGAGGAGGACTGTAGAAGGGGTTCTGATTGTACATGAGCACCGGCTACCCCATGTGTTACTGCTACAGCTGGGAACAACTTTCTTCAAACTGTAAGTAGTGTTGGAAATTAACAGCAAGACAGTTTTTAATAGGATTGCTGTTTATGCAGCTCTGGAATACAGTTTTAGCCCTCAGTCATTTATTTCAAGAAGCTGCTATTAATGGTGTCGTTAGAAAGAGAAAATCGCAAATAATTTTTCTCCATTGCAGTGCTTATTTATTTTCCTAACTAGTAAACTGTGTGTTTCTGTATGTTGTTGATGTTAATGATTGAGCTTGGTAGAAACTCTGGAATAGTTGAGTCTAAGATCAATGTCTAGATGTCATTGTAGCATTATCAGGAACAACTGATATTTCTTTCTTGGTATGATTGGCATTTCCTGTTCTTAAGATGACTTAGGTTTTTATAGGTACCAGTTTAGTTTTATCATTTAAGCTCCTAAATCTCTGAAACATTTAATCCACAACTATTTGACTAGATTATACCAAAAAGAAAGGTCTCAAATACTTAGATGACATTCTTGAAAAAAGTGTCCCATTCTTCAGGCCTGAAGAATGTGATCCATCCCTCTCTGGGCATTTCTAGACTCCAGTATCATCAGATAGCTTCCAGAGAGAAGACTGGGATGGTCTGGTGGTTAGCAATTTTGTTTATGCTATGTTATATATTCTGTTTAAAACCAGGGTTTATGTAATGGGTACACATGGACATAAAGATGGAAAAAACAAGCACTGAGTACTTCAAAGGTGGGGAGGGTGAAGGGGATGTGAGGGTTGAAATACTTCCTATTGGATGCTATGTTCACTATTTTGGTGATGGGTTCGCTGGAAGCCCAAACCTTAGTATTATTACACAGTATACCTATGTAACAAACCTGCACATATACCCCTTGAATCTACAATAAAATAAATATATTCGAAGAGTGAAAAAAAAACCTAGCATTTGTATACTGTTAGTCCAGGGAATTGACATGAATTCAAGCTGTTCTCCCCCTTCACTTTGATACTTGTTTTGATTGCCTTATTACACTGCAATGTATGTTACTTAGTGACTTGATAGAAATAACAATTATTGTGTTTTTTGTTATGTTCAAATTGTATTAAGTTGAAAGCTGAAATTCTTAAC